AAAATATGGAATGTTGGAAATGAATTTTGGTGTATGTTTTATAGTGGGAATGAGTAGTAAAACTATAAACTTCTCTGTTTTATAAAGGGTAGGTGCTGGTAACAAAAAATTTACTAATAATTTTCATAAATGTTCAGCCAGCAGTTCATTAAGCGAAAGAAAAAGTAGACGAAACAGATGATGCCAATATTAAACAAATTCCAAAAAAGAAAAAAACAAGACATGCTGCAAAAAAACATTAGACATAAAATATTTTTCTTACAAACGTTATTTACTCTCTCACTTGTATAAACTTTTGTTGTCTTATGCTTTTTTTTGTGAAAGACTATACTAGGAAATAAAAGAAAATAAACTATGTTATAAAAAAATTATTTTCTCTTCCGAACATCCTGTATTTTTTCGTTCCGAACATCGGTCATTTATTGTCTCGAACATCTGCCATTTTATGTTCCGAACATCGGTCATTTTTTGTTTCGAACATCTGTCATTTTATGTTCCGAACATCCTGTATTTTCCGTTCCGAACATCTAGACGACTTTCCTTCCGAACATCCGGAAACTGAAGTTCGGAATGGACTTCTCCGACCGATGTCCGTAAAAAAAATGAGGACGAAAAGGGACCACCCCAAAGGTTTAATAGTAACTTTATTCATTTTTTAAAATAACATGGTAGAATGCAAACAGTATAGAATTGCTTGTCTAAATCAAAATTCTAGACTTTAGTGAAGAGAAACATTAATGAAGCGTTTCAACGTTTTCGTTTTTAAGCTAGTCCAAAGCAAAAGATTCCCCTAGAAGTTGACATAAATTCTTATCTATTTTCAGTAATAAAAGATGCGCGCATTTAAAATAAATCCTGATTCGAGTGTTTTATGTTAGATAATTGTGATCGTGCACTAACGATTATACCAAAATGTCCAACAACAAGTTGATACAACAGCGAAACTGCAGTGGCATTAGTAAATGCAGGTTGCTTTTCTGAAAATTATTTTATTCAATCATTCTGTTCCTTAGAAAAAAATATTAGAGTGGCTTTGTGCTTTGCTTTGTAAATGGTTTAGGAGTAAAATGCTGTTGTCTCACAAAAATTCAGCAAAGAGTGGTTTTATTTCATTAGAATCAACATCATCACATACATTTTTGTACTTATTTTACGTTCTTGAGATTTTTTACCAACGCTTCAACAGCTATGACTGACTCGGAGAAAGAATAAAATTAGTTATGTATACACTACAGTTCCGCTTTTTGCATATGACTGAATTGCGCAGACATTATCCCCTCTATTGAAAGGAGGGTATTACGAAAAGCGAGTTAAATGCGTTCGTTCGTTCATTCGTCCAATAGGAAAGCACATGCATAAACTTAAGTAACCTCAAACAATATCCTGCAGGGATACGGTTGACAGAAGGTAATCGGGGTCGGGGAACACGATGGCGTTGTCAGTTTGTTGAAATTTTGTAATTCAAGCAAGTTTATATTAGATTACGAGCTGTTTAGATCGTCGGACTTCCTTTATAGGAACTCTTTGTAGGGACATTTTTTGAGGGTACCATTCGATGATTTTTAGTGTTAGATGTATCGTATGGTTATGTGAGATATTATTATGAATCGGCTATAGCCATCGTGCGGTGGAATTGATTCTCAATTTGAGAGCGGCTAGCCGTGAATGGCGCTCCAGAGGGGCGCCGACGAAAGACTAGCTGCTCACCTGCAGTGAGACTTTGAAAGTGTTTTTCAAAGTCTTCCGTTTATTCTTGATATGTCAAATTGTATTGCAGCACGAAAAATTTATTCAAACTTAACTCCTAGAATTCTATATTAGTGTATCTACGAACTGACGCAAACTGGGTAAGTACTCGGGAATCATGTCTCATTCTTCTCTAAATTGTGATGAATTTATCGCATATGTCTATAAAACTGAATTAAATTAGTTCCACTACTGTTGTTTTCGTTTTTTTTTTGAAAATTCTCTTCGTTTTTATCTAATAATTATAGAACGAGGCGAAGGTTTCAATCAATAATGCAGTGTTTAAAATCGTATGGAACTAATTTTCCACAGTCCATTAGATGTAGCGTAAGAAACATGATGCTTCAGTGTTGTGATATAAAGAGAAAGTGTTCGTCTCGATTTCTATCGTAATTCTATACATCGGTATTCTAAAGACGAAAGAGGTACACACAAACTTTTTCTTCTGCAACTAGAATTATATTTTTCAATAGTTCAAAAAGCAAAACGTAAAATGCTATTTAGAGTGTACCAGAATCGAATACAATACCGAGACGTTTATTTTCGGAATGTAACTATTATTCAATAAAAATGATGCAAGATTATTAGTTTCGTTACATCAAAACACATATTTTCCATATTAATGTCGAGTCTTCTAAAAGAAGTATAATAAATCAAATAAAATCAGAAAACATTCAATGTGATATATGAATCGGTTGTACACGCTTTCGTGTCTAAGTATTGAATTTAGCTGAGCACGCAAGACATCTCATAAAGTTCATTGTTACTTTTACTTGTAGAAACATTCTTTAGTGCGCTATAGTAAATCATTGATTTCAGCCCAACATCATGGTTAGAGCATGCCATTTGAGAGCAGTGTCTAGTGTGAATAAATGACCCATGTAATAAAAACCGCATGAAAATCGGCGGTTTTACCGATCCGGTTACCGGCTCCCATTACCGCAGAACGGATAAATATCGCGGTTTACCGCAAAAAATGATCCGACATTTACCACGGTAAACCGCCGGTTTTGATTAATACCGCGGTTACCGCTAAAAAAAAGCGGTTAACCGGTTCGTCTATAATCTTTGACAGAAAAAGTCTTCCAAATCATCAATTAAACTATTTTAATCACCCTTTTTTTTTACTTTTACATGTGATAAACATGAGCAAAAAACCGCCGGTTTACCGCGGTTTTACCGGTCCGGTTACCGGCTCCTATTACCGCAGAACGGATAAATATCGCGGTTTACCGCAAAAATGATCCGGTATTCGCAACATGGGAATGTTTTCTGCCTAGTTCAAAAATCTTTCTTTGCCAGAATAGAAAGCCTTCAAACCCGTTCCATGCACTACTATCAGAATGGTTTTCTTTTCATTCTATTTGGAAAAGGTCAGGGTTGAATTCCATTTTGAGGAGATCGCCTTCTCTCACGTTCTGTAAAGAAATGCCTAATAATGGACTCTTGAAAGTAATGAAAGCTTTCCAAATCATTAAACATCATTCTTGGAAAGAAAAAAAAAGTTCTCTACCATTCTACATTTTTCAAAATGTACATACGTGTATATACGTATATATTCATTCGATAAATATAAATACTAAAATTTATACATAAAAACAAATCTGTTTCGAAATAGATACATTTATATACATGTGTATTTATATTATAGGTATAAGATTAATTTTAATTTCTAGAAACAAATAGAGCGAGCTAAGAATTTAAGAAACAAGTACATCTTGGCTGGGCCTCATACATGAATAATATAATCGCTCATTTATGCCACATTTTTTAAGTACTGATAATAGATGACTAGCATGCTGTTAGTTTCTGGATCAACTAGTTAGTTTTAAAAGCACAAGGATGTGTCGTTGTACAATTGATATGAAAAAAGGAATTTTAGAATTTCTGTTCAGAATAATTTTTAAAAAAGTCGTCCTATAAATATTTGTCTAACCGATCTAATCTTTTATTTGAATATTACATTTAAATTTTAAATATATATATTTATATTTAGAAAGAATACATATTAATACCCAGGTTGATCAAAACGGACTCGTTTACAGCCTGTTTATCGACGGTAAACGATGTCAAAACGAGTAGCTGCCTAATTCGACTTCAAATATAAATGCAAAAAAAACCACTTTCATGTTTTCAAGCAACCCCGGCAGAAGATTTCCTTTTTATAAATCATGAAATATCTAATTACTAATAAATTCTTCTTAATTTTTTAAAAATTAAAAAAATTAAAAAGTTTTTTTTATTTTAAAAAATTTCATCAATTCTCCCCAGCGAAATCCCCGGGGAGTCACGACAGGGACTCCCCAGGAATTTCGTTATTTTACGGGAACTCCCCGGGGAGTCGTTGGGGGATAGTCGATTAGGGTACATACAACAAATTTCAGCTCCAACACTGCGTGTGTAGACCGGTGTATGTCCGCATTTCCCCACACCCACAGTTGCTCTGTTGTGTTTGTGTGTAGACCTGCGTATGTCCGCCTTTTCTGACACACACACAGACACCCTCTCACCAAATCCTATAAAAAGGAAATCTAAATCTATTCCTAAATTATAAATGGGCTGCCACTTTGCGATCTTTATCTTTTGCCTTGGGACGATTTTCAAGTGGTCGCGATTTTTTTGCGTTTATTTTCGAAATGTGAATAGTTATTGAGGTATCAATTTATATTCGAATTCGAACTAGGCATCTCATGGTCAAAACGGTATATTTACGGCAGTAAATAGGCCGTATTTGCCCGTAATACCTGGCACAGTAATACGGCACCGTAAACGGGACTGAATTTTCATGGTCTACGGCTGTTTGTGCTCCGTAGTCTCATGATCATACGGTCCGTATTACTGCGCCTGATATTACGGCAAACTTTTGCTCGGAAAATAGTCGTAAAGTAACCGTAAACGGCCGTATACGGACCGTACTTTTCGACCTGGGTATGTAAGCATAATTTTTTTTAACATATTTGGATGATTGCTTTTTAATTTAATAATTGCTTATTTTAATTTTAAAAACAATAGGCTAAAACTATAGTTTTTGTCTTTTTCTGTTAAATATGAAGGGAAATGAACGTTTAAAATGAAAATGGCATTGACTAGACGCAGGGATTATATAAAATATAAAATGCACTAGTTCATTGTAGATGCTTTAAATGCATTATTTTTATTTACTCAAACTCATTTATTCAATACAATAAACAATTACAAAGAAAAGCAATTTGTCACTCTTAATCACTCAATACAGAACTTAGAAACTTTACGATATGAATTTGGAAACAATATCTACTCTAATAAAAAATCATTTAAAATTACAATATATATGTGATTTTGGAAAAGATAAGAAAATTTTTCGATTTATGATTTCAATAGCTATTTTCATAATATTTATTCTAACTTTATCACGCTCTCCAATATATAATGAAATATTTTTTATTAAAGCTGCAGCAAATGCATCCAATAAATTTTATCCTTGTATTGCTGTACTTGTTGAATTTCGCGCAGTTGATCATATAGTTGCCGTTGTTCATAATGTTAATCATCATATTCCATCATCATGGCCTATTCAAATTTTTCATGGAAAAGAAAATCAAAATTTTATTAAAAATTCAACTCTAGCACCATTAATTGCATCAGGAAAAATATTTCTTACGCTAATGGAAGAAGTTTATGATCGTAGTCGAACGAATCAACTACTAACCGATCCAAAATTTTGGCAACGCGTCTGCGGTGAAAAAATTCTCCTATTCCAAATCGACTCAGCTATGTGTTCGAATTCGCCACATAAAATTACTGATTTTCTTCAATATGATTATGTTGGTGCTCCATGGGATCTTTCATTTATTACACTCGATCGACGATACCGTGTCGGAAATGGTGGCTTTTCATTACGTAGTCGTAGTAAACTATTAGCTTTACTTGCATTGATTCCGTACGATACTCAAATACCAGAAGATGTTTGGTATGCACAGAATTTATATCGAGTCAACGGATCCATACCTTCGGTTGAAATAGCGAAAACATTTTCTGTTGAATCAATGTATTATGAAAGGCCATTAGGTGTGCACCGATTTCCTTGGCATTGCAAATTTCGTGCTGATTTAGCAAGAACATGTCCTGAATCAATGTTAGTCATGCCAGATGTGTGTCGTTTGAAATAGTTACTTATATATATATATATATATGCACCATATGAAATACTTGTAATGAAAACTATTTTCCATCCACTAATTTTTTATTAGTACGTTAAAAATGACGTACAAATCGATACAAGAAAGGCAATGATAGAATTCTTCATGTACGTGTTCTTCGAAAATAAATGAAAATATTCTCACTATCAGATTTTTTTTCATTCGTGTAACATGTTTCAGTCATTTTCTAAAACATTTTTCAAATTACAATTATGTCAGTTAATTAAAATTTTGCACGCTCCCATTCTTTCAGCAATTGCCTACTAGATGATTAAATATTCTACTCGTGAAGTCAAACGTTAAAAGAAATAAGGTGTGATTCGTATAGGAGAACTGTTTCAAAACATATCAACAGAAACTATGGATATCGATTTTATAATTAATTATTATTTACTAATAGTACTAAAAAATTCATACCTGTATAAGCAATCGAAATTAATCCAATGAAAATTGATAGCTTAAAACGCTGTCTAAAATATTTTTGTATGAAAGTACAAGAAATATAAACATTACATTTTGCAATTCATATAAAAGATAAATAGAAAACGTTGACATATATAACGGTCAATTCTATTGTCAGCACGACTCGAAATTGTAGTTACTTAATAATTCTTAATTTAGTTTTTCTTCTGCTATCAGTGACATCTCCCACAACGTTATTGAAAGCTTGCAATCTATCTCTTATATAATTTGGAATCGTATGCGCTTATCTCAGACACAGCAAATCATCAACTGCAATATGATTTACTTGTTGACATCTCTCTGAACATCAAAATTGATATGGATATTCTAAGCCTGCTTTGTTACTTGTAAGAAAACGATTCATTTACTTCGGCTTTTATTATCCCCAGCGGCATTTCATTCGATTTCTAAACATTCATTATTCTATAAATTATTTAGTATTCATGATTAAAAGTTAAAACTTTTGACATCGCATGAAAAATAGATAATTGATATTGATTCCCATAGTATTCCTTGAAAAGTCGTACTCGAGTGCTGACAAACGCATTCAAATATTTATCTTTTCGTCTCCTCAGTAAATGAACCAAGGAAATTGGATGTAAAAAATCGAGTCTACTAGCTTGCAGGACCATATTTCATCAATAACGAGTTTATTGTTTGCTTTTATCCATCACAAATATGACGTGTTTGAATATGACATTATTTGTAGATAAAAATCGTAATCGAAATTGTGCTCACATGAAGTATTACCAAGCATAGACAATAAATAAAAATATCTAATAATCATTATCAGAAAACTAACAAAACTCTTGAGAAAAACAAACAACATTTTTCGACGAGCATGTCTGTATCTTTTAATAAAAACAAAAACGACTGTCTGAACTTGACGAAAATGATATATGATAAAGCTTTTATTTTTGTTTTGTCAATAATAATCCCAAAAGGCAAATCGATGTTGACAGCTAATCAAAATTCTTCTTTCTTGAAATCCAAATATTCGGCAATATCATTTATGATTAGACAAAAAGAATTCATCAGCATGAATCTGTTTCAATCAAATCTGAAGCATATTTTTGCCTTCGTACAATCATCTATTTGTTGTCTTCCTATCAGTAAATAAAATCAATTCATAGATATGAACAATGCCTAAAGGTTCATTTTCTATATTCAAACGAATGCAGCTGCCAGTGCATGCGTACATAGTATTTTTCTTGATCAATATCTACTGCATACTGCATGTTACTCATTGATTATAATATTACTAGAGAAGAAAACCGCTTAAGCACAAAATCTCACTTTAATTCAATATGATATTATGAAAAGTTAAGCTGATTTTCTTATGTAATATTTCAATTATACGAAGAAGAAGAAAAAAATAATCGAATAACGCAACACTATTCATTTTCTAATATTCTCAAACTCTGTTGGACATACGAAATAGATGCATGTATTTTTTAACTAACAATAATGTTTGTCCTTGAAAAGGAAATTGAATGAAGTGTCACTCCCATTATCAAACATACGAAGTATACGTAGTATATGTATGACATTGTCATCAATCATCTCATGTATTCTTTATTTCAATGTACTCAACTCCTGCTGATGCTGATGGCTTTTTCCGGCGAATGAACACATACATATATTTAATGACCTACTGATCGCCACGACACGTTGACAGCGGTGTAAAAAATTTCTATCGAGTAAAACAAAAAAAAAAAAAGAAAAGAAAATGTAGAAACAATAGCGTTGACAATGTCGACTTACATGCTAATGATTACTACCTCCTATTGATTGATCTCATCTTAAAAAATACTTTTATGGTTACTTGTCATTATAATCTAGTGATTAAAAATGTTCAAGTGCTCGTTCATCTTATGTGTGTTTTTTTTTGTCTAATGAATTTTTTTCACATAGCGTGACCGCTAGCAGGCAAATATATATATATATATGTATATCTATACCTAAAAATGATGGACATGTCATCTAGATTGAGAAGGCGGAAAAGATAAAATTGTCACGTGATGATTTTCAATATCTATTATTCAGTTTGAACGCTTGTTGATGGGTAATATTGCAGTCCTTTAATTGTATTTGGAATATTTACAATACAGTTGGATCGACGTACTTTTCGTTGATGTATACGATCATAGGTTGATGGAATATGTTCAATTAATTCATCGACCAAAGTTAAATTTTGTCGACATGAATCAATAGCTTGCCGAACAAAACAACGAATCGACGATAAATTTTTTTGATTAGACGATAATGTTGTTTTTATTGGTTCCTGTTCAATAATTGGCGTAAATGTTGATGCAATGAATTGATCAAGTTCTTCATCGTTGTCATCATCATCATCTTCTTGTTCTTGTTCTTCTTTGAAAGTTTGTAAGTATCGACTATGAGATATACGTGATGATGTTGATTGTGCTAATGTTGCTGATAAATGTGTTGTATCATCGAGTAACAATGTATTCGATAGATTGGAATGTGATGTATGTAATATGGTTGATGCGTTATTATTTAAATTTTCAATTAAAACTGAAGATTTTTTAGAATGAAAAAATAACAATAAGAAGTAGGAAATCAACGGATATAAAATATTTTTTCCAGTTTATGAACATTAATTACTTTTCCTCTCTCTTTCATAACAAACCTGTTGTTCGATGTCCTTGTACATCTAAATTCATTTGCTCCATTTGTTTTTCCACAGTTATTTCTTCATCCGTTAGACTGACATCATCATCATCAGAGAAATATTTTTTTAAACAATGTTCTTCACCTGTACGAATTATTTGATATTCATCTAATGATAATAGACCATATTTATTTGAGCCCGTTAAACGAGCTTCATCACCTGCTTCTTTACTTATGACATCTGAAACATCATCAAACGCTGTTTGAGTTTCAGCTTCATACATATAAACTCTTTTTAAATGTACAGGCATTCGAATCTCAACTTGTATAGGATTAGAATTAGTAGTTAATGATGAATTTGAGTTAAGTACAAGTTTAACAATCTCATTTGTTGGTTTTGATTGCTGTTCATCGGCATCCATTATTGGAGATAATTTTTTTTATGTATAATTGCTCTATCGATTTGGCGCCCAACAGTGAAATTATATTCTTCTTCTTCTTTTTTTTGTTGCTCATCACCTGCTGTTATACTACTTGAACATTCTTAGTGTGTTTCTTTTTCCCTCTTAACTATTGAAAATATGCAGACATAGATTTCGTTAATATGTGATCAATGAATATGTTTAAAATGATTATTATTATTTGAGATTAAGCATTTGACGTTTTGGTTATATTTGTAGTTTTACTGAACGGCGAAACAAAAAACAAAAAGACAAGCGTTTCACATCAAAGATCAACGACGAACACGCGTCTCAACTGAGATTAACGCTTCATCTCAATGTATATCTATGATTGTCGGTGTTCTTTTATTTGAACATATCCAATTGATGCTGTCAGTTGTAGGTGTGATTGACGGCCTTGACGATGAGAGACACAACAGACACGCTGTCTGGTCTGGTGTTGACGTTTGATAAGTCACGTCTTTGGCGTCCCCATGAGCCCAATTTGCCTTGAGAATATGTTTTGTTCAATGAGGCAAATCTAAACAAAGCGTCTTTGTTGTCAACATTGATCGGAAGTGCATGAGAAGAGCGAGAGAGCAAAAGAAAGCGTTAGCATAAAGAAAGGTGCCACTTTCTATTCTATACTCCGCTGTTCTATTTTTTTCTTCTTTCTGTGCGTTTCTCTTTAGATGAGAGAGAGAGAGAGAGAGAGAACGAACGAACAAACACCACTTTTGTCATGATAAATGGTTTGATCATACTAGAACAGAAGAAGACAATTGTTGTGGTTTGATTAGGAATAGAACAAAAAAATATATTACATATATATATATATATATATATATATATACATAAACTAAAAGTAAAAACTGAAGCAATATGATCTTTGATTCTTGACCTTGTATTTAGATTTTCTTCTATTTGGTTCGCGCGTTCTGCTCTTGAAGGTAAGTGTGTGTTTGCTTGTATATAAAGCGCCGAAATAGACAGAAAATAGATAAGAATGACGATCGTATTTCTTGAAATAAAGAAGAGAAAAGAGAAGTTGTTGCATACACTCGTAGCTAATTACAAGTAACCTGCATATTGCGTAAGTTATATCAAAGAAGAATAGGTCAAGGAATTATACAGTGATGACAGACAGGCTTCGAAGACAGAGCTTTTCAACGTTAGTTTATTAGATGAAGAACGAATGAGCGCGCGCGCGAGAGAGAGAGAGTTACTTCCGATATATGATCGATCCCCGAAGCAATTGTTCAATGTATAAACTCGACATTTTTAGCTAAGAGTATGTAAGAATATATATAATGTTGAACAAAGTTCATGCCCATCCAGTTTGTCAGGAGGATAGTTCATTATCTTAGCAGGTAATTTTTTAACATGAAGGAAATGTCCTTGTATAGCTCACAACCATATCTATAGTACAACCCATACTGTCTTTGTCTTCGTTCTTTTTCTCTTTTTCAGTTGCATGTGTACCGTAAGATCATATGTCACAGAATAACTAGTGGTGTGACTTCTAAGATGAGATTGATCGTTGTCTTGCCGTCATAGTCAAATATATATATATATATGTGCATGGCACCTTCTGTACTCAAAGATCCATGTTCACGATTGAGTGAAACGTGTTTAAAGAAAGAATAAGACCAAATAGGGTCGTGTCGTCGTTTATTTTTTATTGATTGTTATGAGTTCATGCAGCTGATACTAGTCTCGACGCATCTTTTAGTTGTATAATTTATATGTATGTTTGTGTGTTTATACAAGAAACTGATAAAATGAAATAGATACTCATCGTCTCTGGACGATGATGTCGTTGTGTTAAGTGGTTGTTGTAGTAATAATACATTTGTTATTCTAGACAATATTCTTGTTGCTTGTTCTTCTTCTTCTCCTCGTTTTCTTGTAGGTTTTTTTCACCTATGATCTATGATGATAGTACCTTTCTATATGAATTGATCAAATTAACAATAGTAGACATTACCTGCTGTGTTTTCTTTAGCTCACTCGTTCGCTCCCTTGCTTTTATTTTATTTTATTTTTACTTTTTCTTTTTGTTTTCATTATTTGCGATAGAATCAACTAATTGCGTGAATAGTGTATAGAGATGATTCGAGCTCATCAACGAGCTTAGCATTCATTTGTTCATGAAATTCTCTTGTGTCGTGGCGGTTGAGTTCAAACAAGAGTGACGATTGAACAGTTAAGCAGTTCGACTTATAGTTGTGCACGTACGCGTATATATATATGTATACGTACATATACAATCTCTATGCGATTCTTTCTTACGTCAATACGACAGACGAGGGTCGCCCCATCTACACCCAATATACATCGAGGGTGATGCTGAACACATTCGACAAGAAAGGAAAGGGAAAAAAGCGAGAGAGAAAGAGAGCGACAGGCAAAGAGAAGCTGATTCTGTAGAAGGAGGATGCACATTATTATTATGATTATGATTCCCTGTCGTAGCATAGTAGACGGATGACGTTGTAGAGCACATTTAGTTGAGCTGCTGCCGCCGCCGCCGCGACTCTAGCCTGCAGTGAATCTATATATATACAAAGTCAGGTGAGTCTACAGTCACGAACATTTAGATCTTTTCTTTCCTATTTTATTCTCTTGGGAAAAAATCGTTGTATTCAGATGACACCAAGGATCTTTCTTATGGTGCCTTGATAGTTTTATTTGTTTAAGTGACTGTTGTTTGTATCTTACGTTATATTCTTGTGTAATGATAGACGTCTTCTAGCGTAATATGTAAGAATCTGATAAGTATGAAGGACTCTCGTAGTAGAGTAGTAGCTAACATATAATCTATCTGATCACATCATAGAAACACTAAAAGAAACTAAAAAAATTGTTTTCAAGTGATCGGATAAGTAAAATGAAATGTTCTAAAAAGGTTTCACTCCACCTGTATGCCCCCCGATGTTCTTGTTGTTGTTGTTGTTAAGGAAGCCAAGTCAAGTGTATATATATATAGATGGTCAGTCAGAATCAAATAGAATGCAATTATGTGTTTATAGTGAATATAGAGAAACACAGACTCATCTCGATAGATCGATCCATCTTGATTAGTGTCTGTCTATAGCGTGTCTAGCCCGATCAATGACTATTTTACGATTATCTATTTCAGAAATGGCACTAAGCCTACTTCTTCAATGGTTGGTATTCTATTCAATCCTGTGTAAGTCTTTTGAAATGATTTTTGTCAAAATTTATGAATATATAAATATATATTGATTTTCTTTAGATTTATCCAACAGTCAAGGCCAATTTTATGAAGTAAAACCTTCTGATATATCAGCTTTAGTTGGCTCTAATGTTACTATTCCATGTGTTATTGCTCCACCTCATGGCGATGTTCAATGGACGAAAGATGGACTTGCATTGGGTAAGTTCGTATTTAAATCTATATATTATATGCATATACACACGCACTAACATAATTGTCTAATTGACATTACCATCATCGTTGTCGTCATCTCTTCTATGTATAATACGAATGAAGTGTATGCATATGATAAACATCCATTACCGGCTTTTCTCCTTTGGCCATTGGCAAGTGTTCGAATGATTCGTTCTCTCTCCGCCTTATTTGATAATGATAAGCAACACGAACCATTCAGTTTGAACAAATAATCCACCCACCCTGTGTGAGAAAAGAAAAAGAAAAGCTTTGAATCTCCTAAAATAATGGTGGTATTTAGATATTGACTATAAACGGTTATTCGTTAGAAAGTAGGTGGAGTCTATCGATGAACATGAAGAGCAATTAACTCTCGTTATCTTTGGAGGAATAGAGGCGTTGATTGACACACATATTTTATCGTCGTCTGACAAGAATTACTTAGAATAACACGACTATCACCCAGTGTGTAACTATTTTCTTGTCTACTAATGAGCATTAGTCGGACATGAAAGACGATTGACCTTTTGTGTTTTTGTTTCCTCTAGGTTATGATCGACAACTTCCTGCATTTCCACATTGGTCAATAATTGGCGATGAAAATCGTGGTGAATTTAATTTTTTAATTGAATCATTAAAATTAGACGACGAAGGCTTATATGCTTGTGAAGTTTCACCCTATAATGATGCTCCGGCATTGAAACAAATCGGCCATGTCAGAGCTCTTGTTCGACCAGAACGTGTACAAATCAATGATCGTCTATTTTCCAATGAAGTAACTCTTGTCACTATGCGCTATGATGAACCTGTACATCAAATAAATTGCCGGGTTGATGGTGCACGACCAGCTGCACAAATTAAATGGATTAATGAAAACGGTGTGGAATTTCCAGCTACATCAAGAACCTTTGCTCAAGGTAATAATATATACATGTATTACTAGAGTAGAACTTGACTTTTTTTCTTCGTTTACTATAAGTGAGTTACTTATGAGGCTTTTCTCCTTACTGTATTGAATCAATCGAGAGTGATGTAATAAAAAGTTGTTTCAAGTACACTCTACCGTTAATAGGCGTGTTCAAATTTTTATATAAGAACTTTATAAATGATTCCATCGACCGAGAGAATTAGCTAAAAAGTTCAAATTATTATTTTTTTTTCTCCGGAAAGATTTATGATGGAATACGAGAAAAGTAAATCTGCAGAAGATTCTTTTGGATGATACTATAAATAGCTTCTTGATATAATGTTTGCTAAGAAATGTCTCGATGATATATGACCTAACGAAAAGGTTAGAGCTTATGGAAAAGAATTTTTCTCTATTGACATCATTATTCGAAATCTAACCATTACGAAAACCAGCTCTCTGTATGATATTTTTCATTTTTAAAAGGTCGCCTGTTTACAACTGTTAGCACTCTGTCGCTTGTTCCATCATTATCATTACATAAAAATCGTTATACATGCGATGTCCGTCATGAAACCTTAACTGATGATACAGCTAAATTTCGTACATCATTTGATGTCGAAGTCACATCACCACCCAGCATACCCGATATTCATGGTTATTCATCAAGATTCTATTTAATAAATGGATCACGTTTAACATTATCATGTCAATCTAGTGGTGGTCATCCATTAGGTCGACTATCATGGTATAGAATAGAAGTTGGTAGTGATACATTAAATCTAATTGATAATTCTTTCGTTGTACTTTATCAACAAAATATAACGCAAAATAATATAACAATGATTATTTCACCATCGGATAATAATGTGAGATTATCATGTCATGTAACAAATTCGTATCTATATTCGTTGGGACAACGGCTACAAAATAATATTACTCTACAAGTTGCTTGTAAGAAATACATTTTGTTTGTAATTGTAATTTCAAAAAAGAACATTTTCTTCTAGTTGGTCCATCGCAAGTTTTAATTTTTGGCAACATACATGATGCAAACATGAGTGAAACAACAATAGTTGAAGGTACAACTCGACATTTTGAATGTCGAACAACATCGTCGAATCCACGACCGGTTGTTGTTTGGAAATTAGATGGACATGTGATCATGGGTGATATCGATCCTACGGAACAACAAGGAGAAAATTCCGGCAAAATTATACAATTGGTTAAGACAATTGGTGTTGATAAAGAACTAAGAGAATATCACAATAAAATACTTTCATGTGAAGCAAGAAATCCTGAAACTGGACATCTGGTTATTGATTCAACACGATTAAATATTATATGTTAGTATCTTGAAAGAATTTTTCTTTTGTTTATTTAATATTTTCTCTCGATAGATGATGCAACAAGTATTGAAATGCACGGTGTAACACGAGAGAAGACAATCAAAGCGGGTGACACAATTGTTGCTGAATGTACTCTAACCGGAGGAAATCCATTAGGAAAAATAACGTGGTTTAAAGGCGATGAATTAATGCGTTCGGAATATATCAGTGAAACACGAGGAAAATATGCATTAAGTCGTGTGGAATTCGTTGCTCTGCCATCCGATAATAACCTACCATTGATTTGTAAAGGACAAGTTGCAAATTTCCCTGAACGTATTGCTTCGTTTACGTTGCATATTGTTTGTAAGTTGATATTTAAAGATTTAGTTGTTTAAAATGAAATGATTTGTTTTAGTTTTACCAGCTGAAATGAAAATAATCGATAGTACGATTTTATCAAGTCTATCAGTTGGTAATGATAATCTAGGTGAATTCGAATGTCGAACGTCACTATCGAATCCACAAGCGACATTATCGATTATTAGACAATCAAATGATGGTGTAAAACATTTGGATATTGAATATAAAACGCCCAGTACTTATATTAATGGAATTAATTCAATTAAATTTATGGTTAGTAGATTATTAGCTAGATTTCGATTGAGTGACGCCAAGCGTAAACAATCAAATATAGGTTTTCTTAATGCGAGTGACTATTCCGACGCGATGCAATTTTCATGCTAGAAAAAATACTGTCATTTAAGAATTCTGATTGAGGAAATTAATTTGTTGTTTGGTCTAATTTTAGTTACCTCGTATTGATCTTACTTTACATGGAAATCTATTAACATGTGAAGCAACATTAGATATGTATACGCCACCATTAACTAAACAAGTGACTTATGTACTCAATGTTAATCGTAAGTTATTCTTTTTTTTTTTTGTATGATTAAATATATTGTTTTCTTTTTTCACGTAAGATAAACCCTATTTTCATGATTTCGACGCTATCGCTGATGTAAAAGAAAACCAATCATTGAATCTAACACTTGAAGCAAGTGCATATCCAATGCCAATTACCTACGCATGGTTTCATCCGTCGGGTAGACAATTATTTAGTGATCAATTCAGAATATATATAAATCAAGGACAATTATCAATAACAACTATAGAAAAAAGTGATATAGGTGTCTATCGATGTATAGCTACGAATGCCATTGGAAGTACCGAAGTTAATTTTACTTTAAATGTTCTTTGTATGTAGAAATTTCTTGATTACAATCAAAGCTATTATCTTTTTTTCTCTCGAAAGATGGACCTGTTGTAACTCGAACCCGTGGCTATTCGATTTCCGAGGCAATAGTGCCAGACTCTATGGTAACACTTCTATGTGCTATTGATGCTAATCCAATTGATTTAAATAATGTACGATGGTTTAAAAACAATGAAGATATATCTCTAATCAATAGTGGCATTCAATGGGAAAAACGTACCGAAGGCAATGAAGTATCGTTAATTGGCCGATCTATACGTAAAGAAAATGCCGGACAGTACGCATGTGAAATAAGTAATCCATATGGCAATAGTCGAGCAACAATACCATTAGTTGTACAATGTAAATTTTTATTATTATGTTCCTCGTCGATGCGTAATTATGAATGTATATGTTTAGATGCACCAGAAATTGATCGAAATGATCTCAGTCGAAGTAAAGCAGCAGCTGATTCTGATCGTTCACTGACAGCTGAACTTCATTGTTATCTGTCGGCTGTACCAAGGCCGACTGTAACATGGCTAAAGGTACGTCAAAGAATAAACACTGGTCTATTTCTACGAGTCAATAATCATTTTATTCATTATTTGAAATCAGAACATAGGAGAGAATTGCTGTTTTCTTTTATTTTTAAGGATAACGAAATTTTATCATCGTCATCGAAACATCGATTTGTCCTAAACGAACGAATTATTTCACCTTCGTCGTTCTCTCCTAATCTTCTATTTGATGCTGTACTCTATGTTGCTAATGTTACGAAATCTGATTATGGTATATATCAATGTAAAGCAGAAAATACACTGGGAAGTGATGTCACTGAAATAACACTATCTGGATTGAGTAAGTTTTCATTTCTATCTTTGTAGATTTCATTTTTTACTTTTTTTTACGCTCTTCAGCGCTGCCCGATACTCCGACGCAAGTGCGCGTAGCAAATACATCTCATTCGTCGTTGTTCATTAGTTGGACACCGGGTTTTGATGGTGGCTCACAGCAACGCTTTCAAATACGTTATCGTCTTTCGAACAACGATCGTTATTCATATGAAGATGTACCTGACAATGAACAATCATTTGATTTAAAAAATTTACTATTATCTAGTGAATATTTCATCAGCGTTCGTGCAAATAATTCACATCATTTAAGTCAATGGACTGATGAACTAAAAGCATCAACGTCTCGATATTTACCATCATCACCGTTTTATTCATTTTCAAATACGTCAACAAAATTTTCCCTGTCAGTTATTGTTATTGTTGCTGTTTTTGGTTTATTTATTTTACTGATCAATATTGTACTTATATCATTGTTTATAATGAAACGTCGACGATCAAATATAACAAGTGATAATTCGTCAACAACAGGAACAAATGAAACCGAAGCGAATACAGTTGATATATTTCAACCTATTCCATCAAATTTATTTTTCGATAGACCATTTTCGACGAGTTCAAATGCTTATCCTTTTAATACGTATCAACGTTATGAAGAAGATGATGTTAAACGTCCATTTGTACCTTCGTATTCATCGGCTACGTTGGCACGACTCACACCGAATCAAAGTCGATTGTGGCCACAAGGTAATTGATCATTTCGATCTTTACGTTTAATGTTGTGTGTTTCGTATTTTTATATTATTCAGATGATATATCTTCCTATTTGGCATTGGATACAAGTGTCAGAACAAGAGCTTGTTCTCCTTATGCTGCCATAAAAGTAGCGATTGAATATATAGATTTGTTTTCATTAAATATTATTGTTATGATTTTTTTGTTTAGAAGGGACGATTTTCTCCATACGATAATGTACGATTAAATCATTATTCCCCATCAAGTGTTGATAATAGTGTTGTAACATATAAAAGTTTTAAAGACGGTGTTGGTAATTCAACAATGACACATGGCTGTATAAGAGCTGAACTTGTTTAATGAAGAAAGAATTATCATTTTTGTTTTTTTTAACAGTGATTATATGTGTGTATTCATTTTGAAGCGTGTAGGAAAAGATAATTATGCATTCTTGTCTTTGTTCTCTTTTTCTTCGCTTTTTTTTCTTATGGCTTTTTTCTATTTTTCCATAAATACCATTGATTGATTGATAACATGTGTTTTTGTTACAATTATGATCTAATAGTGTAAAGAATAATTGGTATTCTTCTGATGTAATACGATGTACAGCGCGTATTTTGAAGTCTATGTTTATGATTCTCTGACTTTCTTATGCGATATGATTAAAGGAAAGTTCGAAATAGAAATTTTAGTTTTCATCATAGGTACCTTTAGGTTGATCAAAATTAGGAGATGTGTGAAATCCTTTTTTCAAACGTATTAATTGTAACTAAAGTGCATATCTTCAATGATGAAACGGAAATTGAATTCATCTTGTTCCTTTCTTTTCTTTTAATGACAACTTCAGAATGCATTATCTTAAGTAAAGCTCAGTGTTCGGAAGTAATTCACCATTAAAAGTTTCAATTTCAAAGGTAACTATCATATCGATACTGACAATGAGGATAGCTTCGTTTCAAAGATGTCACTAGTCTTCAATGGAGCGGGGGGGGNTTCATCTTTTTTGTGTTCCGTTAAATTTTTTATGCTGAGATTTTGAATTTCGTTAACTATGACTAGATCCCAACCAATCAAATAGCATCAGAGGTTTTCAGCAGTAGTTCTATAGTACTTTTCCACCTTCATCACACTGTTTTACGATTATGCAACGACTTCTCAAACACTCGTGTCGATGGTCAACTCTATTTTATCATCGAGCATTCATTCATGATTCAAGTAGTACTGCTCGCATGGGTGTACCATTTACATTTGACGACAGTAAAGCCCTCGATTATTTTAATCAATGGCGAAGATCATTTTGGTAATAGTTCTGTGTTCAATTTTTTTCACTTTTTATCTTATTTTTCTTGTAAGAGGTTGGCGCCTGGTGATTGGAAAACAACATCAGTTACATTGACTCGACGTTTTCTACCATGCTGGTCGTTCTCATTGAAAGGATCTGCATATGCTGAAGCTTACGTAAGACGAAACAAAAAGAAAGCAGAACTCTTGGGAAAGTCTTTGATTTTTCCGTTTAGGTAAAACGTGGTTCATGGTTATTGGGTGGTACTGAATGGCATGCGTTAGCTGATCAAGTTACTCTACCGAATGTTGATCTATCGGATATAAATGTGTATGCAGCTCATAATTATGATCGACAACATATAGTTGAAATCGATATGAAACTCAATGATACGTTACAATCAATTGATGTTTCATCGTTAAACAATGATATAATCGAAGAATGGACAATCGATCGAGATACAGCATTTGAAATTGGTTGGGATCTAGTCATAGTTAACGAAATTCAAAATCTCAGCATAAAAAATTTAACGGAACACAAAAAAGATGAATATCGGATAACATCAATTCGTTTTCGTACTGAAAATGAAATACAAAAACTAGTCTATTTCCCTGTTTATACTGTTGATTATCAATATGGAAATAGGCAATTTCAATGTTTAATCAATGGTCGAACAGGAAAAGTCGCGGGATCAAGACAAATTTCTCGATTAAAAGTAAAACTGTTCGTGTAAAATAAAATCTGATTTTTAACTTTAGTTTTATTCCAGATAACAGCAATACTTATGGGTGTTATTTATCCTGCATGTATTATGTCGCTAATATCAATAGTAACTTTTGTGATCTACGCTGCCACACAACGTTTTGTTGCTATACCCATCGGTTTACTTGCCATTGGATTAACCCTTCCTTTTGTTACAATAAGTTCTTTAATATTCGGAAGATATGCTCGAGATTATTCTCATCTCTATCGAGGTAAACGTGATATTCGCGAATGGCTGGATTTTAAAAAACAAAATCCACATTTTTTTACTGATAAACATTTTGACGCACGTCAAACGTCGGAAACTTTTACTCGGCAACGAACGCAAGAAACGTAAGTTGGCCAAAGTTGTAGATTTCGAAATTTTTCTGTTTGAAAATTTTAGTAAGTCAACCTATTCATTAGAAGTCGGTCCTGATTTCTATCAAATATTAGGTGTAAGCCGAGTCGCATCAAATACAGCCATTAAACAAGCGTATTTACTCAAAGTGAAAGAATTCCATCCGGATCGAAATGTTGGAAATAAAGAAATTGAAGAAAAATTTAAATTAATTAATCAAGCTTACGCAATTCTATCCGATCCAGAACAAAGACAACTATTTGATACTTATGGATATGAACATGTAAAATATAAATGATTGAAAGATTTTTTTAAATAAAAAATTATTGGATACGTTTTATTTTTATTTTTTGTTGGAAATCTTGAAGAGAAGTCACATCATTGTTGAGTATGTGAACGATTGCTAAAGTTTCAAATGAAAAAAACTTGTTTTCTCTATCATTTTTTGTAACTCAAACAAAATGGATTTTAAAGACCCTTCGAAAATCCTATTGCTGAAATACTTGATTTTAAATTAGAAAATTATATACCAGTGGTGCTAGTTTATTGTAGACTAATTCATTTGCATTTCATACTTGTCCCATTTTGTCATTCAGATTTTCATAGCAACATGAATATGTCTATAAGCAGCCATCGACTAGTTGAAGTTGACGACTTGATTAGAAAGATACAAAAGAAATAAAATAGCTTTATGTCTTGATAAAGAAATCGACAATGACCTATTCACTTCTATTTTCAATCGGATTCGTCATTGCATTGTTCTGAAGAGATATGAACGAAAAAAGTAGTTATTCTCTCATATGGTTGTATCTCTTGAGATACTAGAGATAAGAGGTGAGAGAAAAGCCCATATGATTGTAATAAACCAGATACAAAATGTATGCTTTATAAAGTCAAATATTTATATCGAAAATAAATCAATAAATTATTTCTGATTTTATCTTTTGTAACTATGTTCGGTATACAGATGGTTATTTTCATTTTCTCACTGTGAATCCAAGAATCTTCTCTTTCCCATCTGTTGTGAAATCCGATCTAAAACCAGATCCTGCTGCAATACATGGGCATAAATTTAAACTCGATACATACCGTAATTGATATTCAAGTTTACTGAAAATAGTCTGATAGACTTGATTAAATTCATTATAGAAATCTATTTGTCTTATCAAAGGCCAAGTACGTATTATTCATAGAAATGATCTGATGGAATACTGTTATTTCCTACATGCAAAGATATTTGCGTAGAAAAAGAAGCGAATTAAGGGCCCACGCCCCTCAGAATCGACTTGCCACGTTTGAGCTGAAACTTTCAGGGATACATCGTGGCAGTGAGAAACGCTTGTGATAAAAGTTTCAGCCTTGTATACCTTACTAAACTAGACTTATGACTTGTTTTGTGGGCTCCACGAGAGTTGTTATAACTTCATGACTATGAGAGCTATCGAGGCCGGGTCGGTTTTAAATTAAAGCTAGCCTCCATACGCAAGCTTTTATCAGATAGAATTTTGAAATTCGCTTCTACTCATTTTTTATAAGTATTTTACTCGGTATGACTGCCAAAGTAGGTATAAAAAGCGCACTAAATCGGACTTTTCTCAGCCCAGGAATCCAATATCGAAAATCCATCTGATAAAAAGTTAGCTATAATTGAAACCTTTAAAGTAAAAAAAGTATCAGGGAAAGCCAAAGGCAAATGAAAGTTATAACAATTTTTCTAGTTGAGACCCATGTTTTCAGATCAACATTTAGGAATTTTTAGAAAGGTGTGTGGGAGTAAGGGAGATGAAAGAGTATTTCTTCAATAAGTCTGTCAAAACTTAACCTTTTTTGAAAAAATTATATATATTCTGAAAGAGGAAATCACGGGGAATCTTTCTATGATAAAAACTCGATTTCGGTTTTTTTTGAAAAATCGGCTTTTCTGAGGGGGGAGGGCCTTAAGTTCGCTAGTTGAATAAATAGTTGGACCAGTTCACGACTAATGCGATAGATATACTGGTCCGTCCATCAGTTTTTAAACATTATGTTAAGCGAGCAAAATAGTTGATCAGTGAAACGATCAATTATTTCTTATATCTAAGAAACAGTACATAAATTAGTTTGGATCGTATTATAATTACAATAGAATTCGAAGGAAAATAATAAAGAAAGGAGGATATCAGAAAAACGAGTTCAGCCTTAGTTGATATATCTTTTCACACTAACGGAAGCTATTTTTGCGAATGACTTTAGTTCACAGTGTTTATGTATTGGTGCAAGCTTTTCAAAATTCAAACCGAATATTATATTTCTAAAACCTTCGCTACAAACAACTAAACAATCGTTACAACAACCTGTTTCGTTATTATGCATAAAAATATATAATTAAGAGTGTGTTGCTTTCTAATGCTTATGAGAATGTGAGTGTAGATACTTTTTCAATCTAAATCGCACAGAATATTCATTAAAATTACTTTTAATCCGAGAGCTACACCAGTACGCCAGTCACAGACTGCAACAATTCCTACGTCTATTTATAATAATCTTTTATTCGGCGTTCTGCATAGATCTTTACCAGATATTTTCAATCGATGTTTCTATTTTCTTAGCACAATCACACAGATCTTCCATTTGGGCTGTTTTATTTCGATCTAAGTCAATGTTTTCATGCATAACTGCATCTGATAAATCGCTTTCACACTGTGCAACTAGTATCTCTTTCATCTATTTTTCTTGTTTACACTTAGCTAATGGCGAGGAAGATAAAAGCAAAAAAGAGCACATTTACATGCGGTACTTATTTTTTGTAGAACAGCCGGTAGAAAAAAGAAAGGTAAAAACAGATTCGTATTATTAGAGATTTACATTTGTACGCAAATCTTCTCATTTAACTTATTGATTCTCAGATTTATTTACAGTCCTCATTGAATCATAACTGTTCCTATTCAAATATCTCACTGATCCATCATTGTATTGACTGATTCCATAATATTTTCACGTAATGATCACTTAAATCCCAGCCTTATGTTAATAGCCCTATCCGGATGGAGACTTTATGGAAAATATTTATCAAAAACGGCATCACAATAGAAAGCAACAGAGCAGCATGTAAACTCATGAATAATCCAGGCAGCCCAAAGTGTTAATCACAGTTGTTGAGTATGATTTCGCAAAAGCTTAAAATTCTTAGAGCTCGAAGTGATTACGATTTTACCTTGTAAATGATAGAACATATTTGTTGCACGGGATCAGAAGAGTCAAACTGATTATCATATTTTTACAATTTGCGTAAGATGTCGTAATTATATTCTACGAGAAATATTTTAACTTCAACTCAATACAACGCTAAATTGTTATTCAGGACCACGGAAAAAATCCGATATGAATACAAACAAATGTTCCCAACTTAGTTGACAGTAAATATAGCCCTGAAAACATTCGCGTTCTTTTAGTAATGTCGAAGAATATTTCTATCATATGAGTCTTTATAAATATCGAAACCAGATGGAATCACCGTTCGGCATTGTTATGTATCAAGTATTGATTTTCATTTCGGATGATTTCCGTCATATCGTTCTCAGAGACATAAGCGATAATAAAGTAAATACACATTAACGCTTTGCTTAGCCTAAAGAGATTTTCAGTCCGTCAATCGATGTCAAGAAACAGTACACTTTTTTCGCTTTGCATAGTGAACGTATGCAATTAGAATATTAAGCATGATGGAGCTACTCTTTAATCATTCTCACAAATATGCTATACTGTTTGAGTAAATAAGTAAAATAAACTCAAGTTTCTCGTCATATCCTTCAACACTAATGAACACATATTATAATAACGAAGTAGAACAAGTCTCGCAGAGTACTATCGATTGCAAATCTATTTGCGCTCTCTGCTATTGATTTTGATATAAATATAAGCCTCGAAATCATTAGCGTCCGGGTTGAAAAACATCTGACTTATCCAGCTTTGCATTAGTATAATAATTCATCTCAGCTAAACGCAGTAAAGTTTTAATATCTGCACATTTCAAAAATCATGAGATAAAAACCTTCTTTTGAAAATACTAAAAATGATTATTAAGATAGCAGCTAAACGATAAACGTGTCTCGATGTAAATTTTTCATAGTTCAAAAACAACATGGTGACTTTATCATATATTATTCAACAATATACAATCTATGTTGGATGTTTTCTTTTTATAACTGGTCTTGCGGGTAATATCATTCATATTTATATTTTATCAGTTGTAAGTTCTTACCGTTCAAACCCATGTACGTTCTATTTTTTAATTGCATCTATCTGCGATATTCTTATATTATTCGTCGCTCTTCTTTCGCGTATTCTTGAGACCGGCTTTAGAGTCGATCTTTTTTGTTCGTCGATTATATGGTGTAAATTTCGAAACTATTTTATCTATAGCGTAACTATTATACCGTTCTATTGTCAATGCTTAGCAACGGTTGATCAATATTTTGTTACATCAAAAAATATCGAATTACGACGATTTAGTACTATGAGACAAGCGTATTGGAATAGTCTATTATTAATTGTGATTTGTTTACTTCATGGCATTCCATTTTTTCTCTACTATGATATATCACCAACGACACATATATGTGCGTCTATGAATATTCGATTGACCTTATATCTTCCAATATCTGTACTTGGACTTCTTACATTTATACCTAGTTCATTGACGATTATATTTGGATTTCTTACCTACAGAAATGTATCTCAATCCGTAGGTCTGACTCATCAGCATGCCGATCGTCAATTAGTCAATATGCTCTGTATGCAAATTATTCTAATTCTTATAACTACAATTCCGTATGGACTTCTTCATCTATATTCATTAGTAACATTTAAAATCGTTAAAAATAAAAATGCAACTCGTTCAATCACGGAATTATTCATTTTTACAATTATTAATCTCAATACATATATTTATACGGGTGTACGTATGATAGAAATTAAAAATTATGAATAATAGTTTGCTGTTGCTTCATATTTTATAGGGAAATTTTTTTGTTTTTATGATATCTTCAAGTCGTTATCGTGAAATGGTAAAGAGACGAATATTTTTTTGGCGAACGTCCCATCAAATCAATACATTATAAGCGAAGTCATGCAAGATAAATAATGTCTTTTTTGTTTCAAATTCAATTTTGAACTCTAAAATAAATACTGTGATAAAATACAACGATCCATATTTTATAGGCATTTCAAATAGCTATACGAATTTATCTTATGCTTGGCATTCATAATAGAATAACGAATGCTGAAAAGAGGAACAACTCGTCAAATAATTCAAGATCCAAAGTCTATGGAGCCCCGAGTAAAATTTTTCGCGATGGAAAAATCGACCATTCGGTACACTCCTGCGAATTAATATCATTTTACTAAAATAATAATCAACAGGAATATTTTCAAAACAAAATTGTTAATCTACTAAATAACAATTTTTTCAAATGATAACGCATCCTAGGAAACCAAATTCATTCTATTTACCTAATTTCTATATGTAATATAATTTTATCTGTCTCTCATAATTACACTTATATTACGATGTTAATATCATCTCTTCCGGTTCATTCGATCATTTCATTCATTGTCTTGATTCTCGTTCTATCCTGTTCTGGTAATTGTTCTACATAGTTAAATCATTTCGATTTCAATTGATTTATTAAGACAGTTTCAATTTCATCAGAAGAAAAATGTTCAACTGATGACGATTGTGATTTAGAATTATTGTGCAATACTAAAACGAATACTTGTGCATGTTTTGAACCATATTTTTGGCGTGAAGATGTTCGCGCCTGTTTTGGTTGTTCTCCTGGTTGGTTAAAATTAAACGCAAATAAATGTCTTCTCTATGCCATCAGTCAATCGCCAGGTCTTACATGGTATGAAGTTGAGACGACATGTCAATCACGAATTGGACAACCGGTGATGATTAGTAATATCGAGGAGTTTACAGCTTTGCAACAACAAGTCGAATATCTATTAAATGGACACGATCAATTAGCTGCTACGCTTTATTTTCATCAAGGCGCTTGGGTTCAAATCAATGATGGTTAGTACTATTATTCTTCCTTTTCAATTCTATGACTTGCAAGTCAACTTTCTCGTTGGCATTCCTGTCTGTGTGATTTGCAGAGAAATAAGTCGAGAATAAGCTAGAAAAGTAAATGACTTTTTGCATAGTGGTTGGTTTCTTTTTTGATTTCTGTAATTTCACATTGTTACTTAAAATCATTCGTTTCAGAATGGTCCGAATTCTATACATGGTGTGCTCACGATGAAATTCATCAGTCGTCGGATTGTATACAAATACGACAAAATGCTCAAACAAATATAATCTGTCTTCAATATGTTCCATGCATAAACCAATCTCAATATATATGTGAAGGTTTGCTTGTACTCGTCTTCATAGAACGATAGTCTTACTAAAAATTTTTATACTTAGGATCATCTATTGTTCAATCGGAACTAGCAAAAAGTATAGCTGATGGAGAAAGTTTGGATTCACAAGAAGCAACAATGCTTAGAGCTATAACAACTAAACGTACTACTCCACGAACTACCATAAAAGCAACTATAAAGACAACCGTAAAAACAACTATAAAGACTACCGTAAAAGCAACTGTAAAGACAACCACAAGAACAACCACTAGAACAACGACGCGAACAACGTTAAAACCAACGACCAGGACAACCGTAAAAACAACAAAAAAGAATTCCAGCACCAATATGGCTAATGCACTTTCAAATGGAATTAATGCTGCTGGCCAAAGTTCCAATTTAATAGGAGGTTTAGTCGGTGAGAAAAAAACTTATATTAATCATCCGATATAAATCGCTCTATTTTTATTTAGCTGGAAACACAAATCAAAACCAAAACCAAATAGATAGTAAAAAAAAATTTTTTCGTTTATTAAAAATAAATAATTATTAAATCATTCAAAAATTAAAGCATTTCTTGAAACCGATCCGCTTTTTTCTAAGAAGAAATATTAAATAAGCAAGACTGTCGTCGAATCGTATCCTCTAGAATCTGAGTTGATATTGAGTAAAAAATGAAATATTTCCCCTCACGCTAACGAGAGACAGTTACTTTAGGACAATTATAACGCATGAAAGTCTTGAATTTTGACAATGCATGCCTAATCAGTTATAGATTTCAAGTTGCTCTTAATCGCTTTTGAAAACAAAACATGATTCAGTATTTCGTACTTTTTAGACGCGCTAACAGATGGTGAAGAACCGAACGAATCACAAGAAGAACTTGCTCTTTCAGCTCAAAGTACGTTTTGTTCTACAATTATCCTTCATTTAAACATTCTCATTCAGATGAAGGCACTTCAAATAAATCCTGGGACAATATTTTGCTTTACGGCGGTATTGGTTTAGGTATCATTGCACTAATCGTCATTATAATCGTTGTAATTTACTATTTAAAAAGAAATTCAGCAGATGCCAATAATACAAAAAATATAAACAGTACTGAAACTTTTATCAGCGTTGCCAGTGAAGAATAAATATTCATTCTTATAGTTTATATTTTTGTTCTCTTTGTCAGACACGCATCTGTCATCAACATATATGCATGCATAGTTAACATCATCAGATGATAATCATATAGAATCTCTCTTTCTGCTGTTGATTGACTATCGAGGGGTCATCTATCTTTCTAAACGATTGCTGTTCTATCGCTGTAAGTAACTCGCGACAGTTGTTCTCGTTGGCTGCTCAATAATTCAATCAGTCAAAAAGTTCGCTAAAATCAATTCGTTATTGAGAACGAGTGTGGCGCTAGGATGATACTAACAATGGAATCGGATAAAATCTATCTGTTCAATATGTTCAATTAATCCAAAATGTGTGCCTTTGTTTACACATATGACGATTGATAAATCATGAAAGCAGCTGAAATAAAACCTTATCTCGAAGAGAAATTTGTATTTCTCAGCGGTATGATTTTGAATTTCGTTATAGTAAAATAGTTCGCTTTGTTTCTATCTCTTTTAGGGGCCATCGATAAGAAAGGCTACTTAATAATAACATTTCCTTGTTCAGCAACAATTGAGAAATTATCCGGAGAAGAATTGAAAAAGCTTCTAATTTATTTAGCATCGATAAAGTAAATCATTTTTTTTGCGTTACACTAGAAACGAACATATATATATATTTTTTTTGCTTTCTAGTAGCTCATCAAATGGTGATCCACGATTTACTTTTATTGTTGATATGCGACAACGTACATGGGAAAATTGTAAACATATTTTTAAAGTTCTACAAGTAATTATATTGATCTCTAGAAAATATTTCGTGTCTAATCGAATCTCTATTTAGGAACAATTCCCATATAAAATAGAACATGTATATATTGTTAAACCCGATGGATTTTGGGATAAACATAAAATCTCGCTGGGCATGTCGAAATATACATTTGAAGTATGCTAAACTATTCGATTTGCAGTAGAAATAAAATAAATTTTTGATTTTTAAAGCATTCTGTTCAATCACTTGAAAGTTTAACTTACGCTATTGATCGTAATCAATTAACACCTGATTTAAATGGAACATTCCAATACAATCATATACGTTGGTTAGATTTTCGATTAGTAAGTTGAAGATTACCATTGAAAAATTTCAAACTTACTGTTGTTTTGCCTCTCAATTAAGAGTTTAGAATCATTTGTATATAATTCAAAAGAAACTTTGCATGCCTATGAATTACTTTATAATGAATTGCAACAAGCTGATGTATCGAATAATGTTGCACGTGCTCAAGATGCCATTGAAACGCATATGACAGTATTTAAAGATCAATTATCACGTGTTAATATCGAGCCATTGATAAACGATGGACAACATTTATTAAATATGTTAAAAGGAACTGGTTCCGATAGTGAAAATGCCATGGTTAAAACGCTTCAGCAACGAACGTACCCATTAGATTATTTTGATGAAGCAAGAAAAATTTCACTGGTAAGAAAGAAAATTCTAGAAAGAAACAGTTTATTTTTCAATGATTTTTCCATTTTTAAGGTGATGGACAATCTTCGTTCGGCAAAAGAACGATGCTTTCAATTATGGCATCAGAAAAAAAATCGTTTAGAACAAAATTTACAATTGAGATTATTTGAACAAGATTGTGATCGAGTAAATAAAAGCTTTTCGATTTATCAGAAAGCGTGAGGAGTGAAGTCAACAGATGAATTTCATTAAACAGAGAAAATTTGAAGACAACCAAAGTTCTTGAAAGAAATGTGTTTCATATAAATACTTTCGTAAATGAATATAAGAACAGATCTCGAGATAGAAGCCAGCTAAAATGTTTTATATGAGTGATGCCCTCTTGCAGTAAAAGAACTGCAGGAGGGCAAAGAAATGCGTTGCTAAATGTATAGAATAGAACAATCTTTCCCCGTGATATTTAAATTCCTCGGGGATCGCATTGACAGCTTTTCTCTAACATCAAAGGAATGAAATTTGGAAGATGATAAAAGCAAAAGTGGCACTTAAGGCTGATCGTTATTTATTTATTCATTACAGTTTAAATCTATTTTGTATTATCAATGAATGAATCCGTGTAGACTACTCGGCCTAATGTATCCATAGACAAATGAATTAAAAAAATAAAACATTCTTCATTTTTTCATTGAAGTTATGTTCATGGATTGCAAGTAGTCGTGCGATACTCGGACCTAAATATACGGATATTGGTTCAAGCTGTTCGGAAGCAATGCAACTCTTAGCTGAACATGAACAATTTGCTAAAGTTTGTTTAGTAAGTATCGATGTTTATCTTTGACTAGATAATATGTTAATGAAAATCGACATTTTAGAATAATGAAACAGTTATACGTCGAACACAGAATGTAGGCGATCGATTGATATCAAGCGGACATTATGCAACCGGTGCTATCAAAAGTCAAATGAATCGCTTAAATGACGAATGGGAAAGCTTAACACGATTGCTGGACAATCGCACAAATATTCTAACAGCTTCACTTCAATTTCATCAAAAAGCTGACGAAGTAAAATTTTGATAATTTCTCTAAAATAAAATTCTATGAATTTCCTTTGCGTAGTATCTTGTACAAGTGCCAACATGGAAACATTTATGTTCATTAACAGATGATTTAACAGCCATTGAAAGTATGGAACATTTAGAACGTTTGCTGCAACAGCATTTCAATTTATCGGAAAATATTTCAAGAATTTATGCTCAAGTATGTATTCATGCACAGCCGGAGTCTATACAATCGTAATCAAAATCGGATTGAGCTTTTAGTAGATAGGCATATTGTTTATAGTTATAACAACAAAATGGTTCAAGTATTTTTCTTTGTTGTAAAGAGTTGCGTTGTCTGCATAGCAGATGAACATCTAACCTTGCTTGTCAGAAACAATTACCACGCAATGAATATTTCAAATATGATCATGTTTTGTTCAATATTCATTATGACGCGATAGAAAAGGAAGAATAAAATGAATGCTACAATTCAGCTCAGAAGAACTGATTTTCGACTGAAGCCTTCGTATAGAGATTGACCTTGCTAAGAATAATATCTCAAGCAGTACGTAATAGAATCGAAACCTAATAAAATATGTGAATCATTCATAATAAATTATTCTCATAGAAGTCGTCAGTTGAAATTTTAAAATTAATTCTCTTGAGATTGTAGTATAAAATTCATGGAAAAAGCAAATATTTTTGTATCTACGTGATAGTAAGCGAAGGAAGCAAACAATCGGCAAGCTGTTTAAAACTCATTTGTGGCTTCATATACTGTCAAGCTATAATCGATTAATCAATTAAACTGATTCCTTTCATATGCTACTTCGTAGTGTGTTTTCTTTTATCACAGTCGTTAATAACATCCATAGAAAAATCTTATTAATCTTCATTTCATTGATAGTGATTTTCTCAACTAAACGATTTATTTTAATTAACCCATATTCTTTTATTTTAATAGATTTGTAACGATGGTAAAGCTATTATTGATTCAGTAGCTCCATCGCAACAGACAACGAATGAATATCAATTTGATTTTCGCGCTGGTGCTAAGCATATTCTTGAAATTGTTCAAGAAGTAAAGTTCTCTAATTTCATTGTGAATAACTTTTGTTTTTGCGCTCGGTTTTTAGATTTTAGTTAATCATCGATATCTTGATGCGAAATGGAATCAACGTAAAGCTTATTTACAGCAAAGACTTAGTTTTGTTGCATTTGCTAATGATGTTCAACAGGTTTTTATCGTTTAAAATTCATTTCCTGCAGCATAAAAATGACCTCTTTTTTTTTTAGATTCTCGATTGGATTGAAAAACATGGTGATGCATTTCTTCAAAAGAATCTTGCCGTTGGCATTGGCAAATCTCTTCGACAAGCAAAAAAACTAGATAAAATGCACACAGATTTTGAAATGGCTATTAAAGTTCGATTTCATCTTTTTTTCTCTCGACTTATTATTAATACACTTTTGTTTGATAGAATACAAAAACTAATGCCGAGAATTTAATAGCCGCTGCTGATAATATGTATAACGAACAAATACAACAACAGAAACTAGCTCAAACAAATAATACCAATCAAAATGCTGAAGAAGAAAATGCTGATAAACAACTGAATCAAGGTCGAGCTAAAATCTATCAGTTAGCGCATGATCTCGAACGTCGTATGCGTGAATTCGATGAGCGTGTAGCACGTCGACGTTATATTCTTGATATTAATCTTAATTTCCATACTCATTGCGAAGAAGTTCGTTGTTTTGAGTTGATTTGAATATAACAATTTCCTTTGTGTGTGTTTCTCTTTATTGTAGTATTCAGATTGGTTGACACAAGTTGAACTTGTTTGGTCAACAACAGGAGGCGATGACGACGATCATGTAATGATTGCTGCTAATTGCGAAGAAATGCTTGAAGCTTTAATAGAACAACGCGAAGGAGCAATCGAAGCATGCGCCACAATTGAACAAGAAGGACAAATTCTTTTAGATTATTTAACGTACGTTAGTTTTGTTTTTAAATATATGTACAATTAAAAATTAGAAGTTACAAAAGAAAGAAAAGAACTGCGTCCGTTTCATATATAGTCATTAGACACAATGAATATGACAAGAAAAAGAGTTGGCTCGAAGAAAGAAAAGACCCAAATGTCGAATACAATTTATGTCAAATATTTTTCTAATATTAGAAATTAATCACCCTCACGAAAAAGAAATATATGCTTAGTATAGAATTTTATCTATCGAAATTGGTTGATAGTAGTAAAAAATAAATAAATATAGGGTTAACATGACCGATATGAAAAAGAAAAATAATTTCCTATTTTATTATATGATGAAGAGATTTATGCCTCAATAAACTTGCAATGATATTAGTGGGTCTTGTTTAGTCAAGTAGTGTGCGGAAAGCTCTTATTTTCTTTTTTGAGTGCATTGTTTACGAAGAGAGCAATTCATGTTAGAAAATAAAACTCAATTGTGGTTAGAGATTTCAGACAAAAGCTCGAATGTATTAAGTTAATCTTACAGCATTGTTTTGTTTTCCTATTTACGATTGGACGTGTTTTTACACAACTTCGTTAAATATAGAATTATCGTTGTAAGGTTAAAATAGTCAACTTGATAGGATTTTTGCATATTTGAAACCTTATTTTTTGTCTTAATCGATGAATACAGAGATTAGAGAAAGAAAACGAAAATTCTCTTTTCTATTCTTTTCTGTTCTACAGTGAAGTGCAATCAAAAATAACACCAAATGATACAACACCATCGCCGCAATATACAAATCTATTAGCCTTAATTGAATCGATTCGTAAGAAAACAAATGATTTGGAAGCAATTTGGGAAAAACGACGATTACGTGTTGAACTATTCGTACAAATAAAACATTTTGAAATATATTCACGTGAAGTAAGCCATTACAAATTAAGTTAAATATAGACAAATTTTTGGACTAGTTAGACTTGCACAGGTGAGGTTAAGAACAAAAAAAAACGAAATTATATTCAAGGGTAGTTGATTGACATTGTAGAAGAATATTTAGAAACATCAATAGCAATATTTTCAAGGTTACATTTAAGTGTAATTATTTATTAATTATGTATAGACGTCTCAGTTTCGTTCAATAATATTCATTTTATTCTCGTTATTTTGCGTCTAAATTAGCGAAGGTATATTAGACACACGTGATATGTCCTCTGACAGTGATGGAGACGGGAAAGCTGACTCTAAAACAATTTCGAGGATTTCTTGTCGATCTTCTACTTCTTGGTACAAGTAATTTTTTTTCTACGTGTTTACTCTCATATCCTTGATAAATTCTTGAAATTATTCTATCGATAACAATGGTATAATTAAAGAAAGTAAAAAAAAGAAAATAATTAATGATGCTTCATTACGTTTACTAGCACACCATTAGCAATGTCAATATATATATATGTGTGTATGTGAAAGACAGAAAGAGCGTTGGATAACAACAAAAAAGAAAGAAGCGTCATCAATTTGGCAAGTTGTTAGCCAGGCAAAAAAGACAGCTAGTTGTCAGATAGAGAAGAGTGCGGTGATAAATGGACTTATTGTATATATTACAGTAGTACTTGTCACTAATCTTCATCAACAAAAACAACAGCATTGACTAGCCAGAACAGAAAAGAAAAGGAGAGTACTACTGATATTCTATATTCCGATTTTGAGACACTGAAGAGAAAAACGAGGCAGGGAGAGAGAGAGAGAACGAGAAGAGGCGAACGATTACTTTCTGTATGTCCACGTGTGTAGCATTCATGTACATTCACACATATATACATGCATTCAATTCACCTTGCTTGTTCTTTTGCTAAACACGATAGCTATGACATTCATAATAATAATGATAAAAGTCGCACTTTTTTAGCGTTGTACCATTCTTCCTATTTTTTTCTCTCTTCTCCCGCAAGGTGTCACATTTACTTGATATTTGGTCACACGAATTGGTCAAAATGCAACAACAGCAGCAGCAACAACAACAACAGCAACAGTCAGCCAATTCTGTTAGTTCTGCTATTATCCCAGTCGCTCTTCCATTAGCTTTACAAACGCTCATTAATGGAGCCACAACGACAACGCGCCATCGTTCCCATCATCATAGCAGCGATCGAGCAACTGGCAAAGTGGATGATTGGGCCCAAGTGCAAGAACATATACACACACGCGTCGCACAAGTCGTACAACGTGGTAGAGACTTACTTAGTGTAAGTAATCTCAAGAGATTTACTATCTCTGCTTTGACGTTGTCATATTCTATGTGTTTGTTATCACAGATGACTGTCACCTCCTGGAGATAAATTGATGAATATATTATATATTGTATTATTATTTATTCTCTTTTTCTTTTCACGTCTTAATAGTTAATGGAAAAATCACCAGATTTCAAAGTTATACTCGAACAACAATCGTCTGGAAACAACGAATCATCTAGTACTGTAAATGCACCTCAACAACAATCGCTAATACCTTCTCCAGATCAAATCTGCAATTTACTCTTAGTAATGAATGACCGCGAACAAAAATTATCAGAATTAGCAACACAACAGCAAAAGCTTATTCTATGGCGTGTGCAATTTGTCAGACTGGAGCGCGATTGGAATGATGTAAGTTATCAACTGTTTTTTATGTTATGTGATTGTGAGAAGTCGTGTTTTTTTGTCTTCAATTTCAGATTAAAATAATGATCAATAATTTTGAAGCTAAATTAGCATCAAATTTAACATTAGCTATTAGTTTAACCGATGCTGAAAAATTCCATCGTGATCATGAAGATATCAAACCATTTGTTGATGTAAGATTGAAATGAATGCAAACACTACTTTTCCTATCTGGAAATATTTTTATCGAGACTTTTGGGTTATGGTTCAAGAGGACCGTCACATAAACATTTGAGATAATTAAGAAAGATTTATATTTGTTTTCGAATCAGTTCATCTTGTTGAATTAGCTACACTTGCTTGAATAACATTTATGATGATATAGTTAATCGACTATCTAATTGTTCATATCTATCAGTTAAAGTTGTGCTATTCTTCAATTAATTTAATTATTTTTGTATTGAATTAGTTTCAAGGTTTTCTTTCATAAATGAAGTAAAACTATTCGAGTTATCGTTCAGTAAATTCCCTAATGAACCATAAAAAAAGATCTATTTAGTGTTTTCTTCGACTTTCAGGATATTTATATATATTAAAAGAGAATCTGCAGGGCAATAGTAACTGCTTAAAATGATTGTATGTAAAAAAAAGTAATGTTTTCTATAGAGAATTTGTGAACGCATTGATACTCTTCAACGTAAAACAGAAAAATTATCTACTCTTATATCAAATAATGATGCGTCATCTGGCCCAAGCGAGCTAATAAATACATTAGTATCAGGACGACAAAAAGTGCAATTACAATTTGAAGATCGTTTACGATTAATAAATGCACAAATTATTTTTTATAAATCCTCCGAACAAGTATGTGCTCAAGAATCTATTTTTGGTGCTTTCTAATTGATTTTCATTGTAGGTTTCGCAAATGTTAGATACACTTGAACGTGAATATCGTACAATTGAAGATATTCATGAAAAATTGAAATCCTATACCGATGATGAAATACAAAAGATCTTAGCTGATCGTTTGGAACAACTCGATGAAAATAAACATAGTTTTTTAAGGGTTTGTATTGCTTTTTTAGGATCTTCAAAGCAATTATAAAAACGTTTTACTTTTAAATACCATCAATTAGGCATGTACAGTTGCTCGTCAAAAATCAGATTTATTTCATAAATACGCACTTCGTAATGCAGCTAATCTCATAAAACATGAAGCCTACTTGAAACCGCTCGAGCAAAAAATCAAAAGTAAAATTATTATTATTATCATTATTAGTGTATTTTTTAATCTACCTATTTCCTTGCAGATGTTTCAACAATATTGAAAAATAAAGAAGATACGGTTCTAAATGCTTGGCATCATCGAAAAAAGATTATTGATGAATATTTACAATATATTTCCTTTAAACGTAATACAGATAAAGTTTTCGTATGGATCGATGAACACGATGAATGTTTCGTATCAAAACTTGAAGCATTGGATATCAACGATGATGGCTATATGGATTTCGTTCGTGCACTGAAGGTTTGTTTAGAATGTGAATTCTACTTTGACATAAGGATTAAAGAGTTCGTCGTGTTCAGAACGATAGAGTAGGTTTTAAACTTCAAGGCTTCTTGAAGAATGTTGCTAAATATGTAGCCTGTCAAAAAATGCATATTCAAGAGAAAGTGTTCGAGCAAATTATGTCGATGCATTGTAGACAAAAGAAAAAGAGAAGATCACTTGGTAGATAAAGGCTTTGGCTTGTGTCTGAATAACTTGTGATCAATACGATGAGAATACAGCAATAAATACTAGAAGCAATATAAACCTTCGGATTCTTTTATGTCTACTGCTGAAGTCAAAATAAGAGATTTCCAAATTGTAGATTTTTCTCCAGCACTGTATAGTTTGAAGCTCCTGTAAGTACAATCATATTACGAGCACTGATATGTGATGGTATTATAAGTCTGGTAGAATGGAGAGTCTTTCATTTTGATACTAGGAAGCATCACGACGCTGTTTTTCATGTTTCTAAATACAAGATAGTCCTGGTCTTGGCAGACACTCTTCGAATCTTAATAGTTTTATTCGACGAGACGTATTGCAAATGAGTAAGGAGTGAGCGTTCTTTTGATGGTTGCATTTTGAAAAGAAAAGTCAACGGAACTCTTCTCTATATTCCTTTTGTGTATGTACGAGTTCGAGAGAATTCTCATTTCATTAACTCTTGTGATCTAAGAAAAATCTCCTGTTTAGTTTACCTTTACAGATATTAGCTAGACATCCTTAACATAATTCATCATATTTTCTTGATACTAAAACTTCTTTCATTATCAGCAGATTTTCATTCTGTGAAAGTATTTTTCTCACGAAAACAAAAAGCTTATTTTTATTTTTAGGAAAAGAAAACAATGGTACGGAAACTTGTTGAACGAGCTGACGTATTAGTGGAGCGTTCGCATTCATTTGCGCCACTTATTAAAGATACATGTAATCGACTCGATTCTGGTTTTAATAATTTTTTTCAAAAAATCATGAGAATTAATAATAAAGAGGTTTGTTATAGTAAATTGTTTTCTTTTTGAATTCTCAATTGATTATTTTGTAGGAAATTGATAAAGAAGCTGGCCGAAAGAGCGACTCCAGTTTAGAAGAGAAATTAGAACAACAAGAATTAAATGAAGGAAAACGAAAAGCAGCTAAACAAAGAGAGTAAAAATAATTCTCTTTTTTTCATAACAAATTTATTATCTGTATTCTTTTTTAAGATTAATTTTTAATGAATTACTCAATACAGAACGTGCTTATGTTGATAGTTTAAGTAAATGCATTCAAGTAAGTTAACAAGAAAAGATGTATGTTGTTTATGTATACAATTTCCTTGTAGTATTATCTTGGTGAAATGCGTCAACATGTGGAAGAAGTTCCAGAATTTTTACGCAATAAAGAATCAATATTATTTTTAAATATCGAAGAAATTCAGAATTTTCACAAGAAGTAATTATATGAAAAGAGAAAAATATAAATAAAAATATTTTTTCTGTTTTTTAGCCTATTTCTCAAAGATTTGGAACGATACGAAGATAGTCCGGAAGATGTTGGCCACTGTTTTGTCACTTGGGTATGGGAAAAGGGTTGATGCGTGAAAAGTTCATTATGCTAAATTTTTTATTTTTAGGCAAAACAATTTCATATTTTTTATGTTGAATATTGTAAAAATAATGAATCATGTATCAAAGTATTAACACAGTATCGTGGTCCATATTTTGAAGTAAATATCATAATATATATATGTCATTTAAATAATGTACTTGGAGGACACAACACATTGAACTACCTATTGAGTAAAGTGAAAATTTTTCGATTGAAAATTTTGAAAATGGAAAGCGTTCTAGCTGTGTGAATAATCGCGGAGAAGTATTGAAATGGTAGAACAAAATCCTTCTACTGAATAGAAAGTATCAGACGAGAAACTCGTTTTAATCAGACTTTTAATTATGATGAGACGGTGGAGCTTTGCATAAGCCATGTCTCAAACAGTTTACTCGTTGTGAATCTAATTTTTAGTGAGTAATAAATAAATTTTGGCTATCATTTATTTTTGTAAACATCCGATATTGATTTTGACTTGTTGATCAAAACCCGCAGACATCTGTTATAATTGAAATTTTTTTCTTCTTCAGTCAACTTTTCTATGAGAATGAAGGTTAATAGAATTTCATGAGAAATTGTGACCTGAACAAATTAAGATTTTATAAAACAACTACTAGTTGCCGTCGGACGTATGTCAAAGAAACATGTGCTTCTTTGCTTATTATTTTTAGTGTAGTGATAATATCTTGGCTCTGGTTTCTTTCGTGCTATCAGTTTAATATCTTCATTCTCATTGAAGACTACAAAGACTCGAACTTTTCCATTCGTTAAATAGATAGATATATTCCGAGTGAAACTTTTCCGACTAAACGACAATTACCGAATATAAATTCACAGCATTCATTTTACGCAGTCGATAAAAATCTGTTTGAGTCTAATCTTTTAAGAATATTAAAAACAAAACTGTTATTCCGATTTCTCTAAAACCGAAATCTACATAGAGAGCTGTACTCTAGACATAATAATGAGATCGTCGAACAAATGCTAGTCTAATTACTGTATATGAATGACGGCTCGCTATAATTAACAGCAATAGTTACTGTATGTTTCATATTTCAATGCAACAACGATTGTGCTAACTGCTTTTCAAATATTTCCAACCGGATATATCAACATCAATATATCTACTGTCTGAGTACAGAATATCTTTTATCGACAGTAGATCGATGTTCTTTCATGTACATAGACATTTTCCTATGTTAGTATTACTAATTAGCCGAAAAGAACAACAATAATAACAGTCTATTTGACATTTATATGCTAATCGAAATTTATATATATATATGTATGTTTAGACAATACAACATAAATACCAAATCGATACAATCAATTCTTACTTAATTAAACCTGTTCAACGTATAACAAAATATGAATTATTACTACAACGTTTAATGTCTTGTTGTGAAGAATCGAAAGGTGAAGTTAAAGAAGGTTACGATCTCATGTGTAGTGTACCGAAGAAAGCTAACGATGCCATGCATCTTAGTTATCTTGAAGAACTTGAAGTTTGTAGATTTAATTTCATTTATTTCTTAATGGTCTTTGATTCCGTTTTAAGGCTGGTCTAACTAAGGAAGCATTAGGTGATGTATTGCTTCAGAATACATTTCAAATTTGGGATTCAAAACAAATCATTAAAAAAGGCAAAGAACGACATGTTTTTCTATTTGAGACAAGTATTGTCATCGCTAAAATTCTCAAGCCAGTTGCCCGTGGAGCTGTTCGTTATATTTATAAATATAAATTAATGGTTTGCTTGAATTTTCTTTATGTTTAATAATTGTAATAAAAATTTTGCTTTCTATTTTATTAGACTGCGGAAATCTTTGATGTGAAAGAACATTTAGAAGCAGGTGAACCTTGTAAATTTGCATTATATACAGGTCGTCCTATGTCATCGCATACAGCTGATCTTCGAGTGACGCTTAAAGTAATGAATAAATAGAGAAACAAATCAAAATCTGAATCTAATTACCTATTGTAGGCCAATGATCTCAGTACAAAACAGCAATGGGTTATTCGTATACGAGAACTCATTCAAGAGAATGATCTTTATCATGATTTATCAATGCATGAAACAAATACCAAACAAACATCAATACAGAATAAGATTTCACAGCTTATTAATAATAATCAGTCAGATAGGTATAATACTATTCAAGAGCATTTGTTTTTTCTTTCTATTAGTTTTATTGAGATAATTATACTGGCTAGAATCTTCTTATGTAAATAATAAAACAGATAGATGATACCGAATCATAACATAGGATATTTTACCAGCAAGACACCAAATGGTATAGAGATTATATTCAATATGGGACTCATCTGTTGACTGCCTTTGATTTATCAGGTTTTCATTCGATTAGACTGTAAAGCCATAGATTTTGAAAAATATTATTTTCATCAAACTGAAAACGTCGTTGAAATCTATTATTCCACTGACTGAATTTTGTTAGTGATGGTCTGATAGGACAATTCTTTATATGGTCACGAACCCAAAAAATGCACGCCCAGAAACAAAAGCTCACTAGTAGGATGAATCATCGTTCACTTCGGTAATGTTCTCTTTGACATGAGTGTTGCCCTTGAAATACACCATCTGTTTTCTTACTCAGATTATATTCTATTCATAGCCATCAATAGAATATATTTTTTCACACGTACGATTCAATGGAAAGGACATGTAATCGAGGGACGAAGCTGATTTTCTCCTTGTGTGATTATCTTAATATTATGCTTGAATGATTCATACATGTGGAGATTTCTATTTGGTTTTATTTTTAGGCGATCACAAGAAATAGCCGATAATGTATCCGATGAATTTGAACATATAAGTCGTGGTGGTTCATTATCTAGTATGACAACTGGTTCATTTTCAAGTAGCGGCCAATATCATCAAATGCAGCAGGTAGGGAAAAAAATGAAACAGAAAAGAATCTCATTGAATAATTATTCATATGAATATACAAATAACTTTAGCATATGTCCTACCGATTGCTATATAGCCTATATTGTTTTCTTTTTTATTTCTATCATCTTGCCAATTATGTTCTTTAGTAATTGCATGTGTTATGCGACGGCTCAGACAGAGCGCGATCTGTCGACAGAATAACCTTGACTAGGCAATGTTCTTTCTTTGTGCCAATATGTGTATTTACATACTCTTGTTGACTGCAAGATAAACATCTAATCTCAATAATGTGCACATATGGAGATAAAAAAAACTTCGATTATATGAATAGACACTATTGATTATTGAATAAACAAACTGTTGCATTTCAAATTCAATGCATAATAGACCTTTTTTCTCCAAACTAGTAAACAAGTGTTTATAAGCATTGCCTAAGGTGTATGAATACTAAAGCGATTTTCTTTTGTCGACATGCATTAACTGTAACAATAGCTGATAAAAATATTATATTATGAAGTCGATACAGAAAAATTCAACTAGATAATAAGCAACCATATGGTTCTTTTCTTTCGCTTTTTATTTTATTTTCATTTTATCACTGTCGAATAAATGACAGTTTCTTTTTTCTTCTTCTTCTATTCTCCTATCGCATATTCACAGCTAATAAAAAAATGGATATAACAAGAGGCAATGCGAGAGAATAAAAAAGGTCTACCATACTTCTAATGATTGGTGTGCTAGATATTCTCGCTAAGTTTATCTATCATCCATGGATATCTGCCTGTATGTTGGTTTTTCTCTCTTGTGTCTCATATATATATATATATATATATATATATCATCTATTAAATGAATATAATAGTGGGCTAAAGGAAAACGAGAGAAAGATAGACAACACATACTCTTATAGAAGACAGAAACAAGATGAGAGAGAACGATTCTTTTTTCCATCATCAAATGGTACAAGGAGGAAAAAAAGAAGTCTATCTCTATGTAATGGATTTTTTCTTTGGCATATTTTCACCCAAGCAAGCGATCAGTTTCAATGAATGAGCGGTGAGAAGAAACGGCATCGATGGCGACGTAGTCCAATACTAATTGAAGAGAAAACCAAAATCGATTCGAAATCCGTGAAAACAAAGACAACCACTGAAGAAGAAAAACATACGGAAAACACTGTACGTAAATGGTATAATAATAATAATAATGGTGATGATGATGATGATGACGATGATGATGCGAGTAATCAAAGTGAAAATCAGCCAACACAACAATTGCCAAATGCAACAATAGCAAACAAAATCGAAAGAGTCTTACGTAAAATAAATGCATGGACAAATGAAAGTGTATCAGCGTCAACAAATAATAGCGATAATAATATACAGAGAGAAACACTACAAGATACAGCTTTCAACGAAACAAATTTATCAGCCTATGATAATATCCATCATAAACAAGAAAATAAATCGCGTTCTAAAAAAGCAACATCACATAAATCATTGGATTCGGTTCGACAACGATGTTCATCAACACATGCTGAACCGAATATGATTAAAAATCAGCAAATATCAAACGATCGACCATATTCCATGACATTTGCCAATGAACCATTATCATCCATGAAAATCAATGATAATATCAATTATACTTGCGGAGGATTCAATAGAAAGGTGAGAGAATAAGTTCCAAGGTTTTTACTCTAATTTTCTGTTAGCAATCGCTTTATAAACAATCGATATCTACATATACGCATGTATCGAAGGTTTATATAGCTAGAAGAAAAATGAACATGATTGATTTACAAAAAAAGAAAATTCTTTCGGACCAATTTTCATAATCTAACATAAAACTTGAGGGTGTAGAATTATAATTGTCGACCGACAGAAGAAAAAAAATAATAATCACCTTAAGAGTGTAGAATTTTTTCTCTTCTCTAACAGGATCTGTATGAATCATGTTCAGTTTTATTTCAGGCTAAGAATGTCTTTCTGAGAAGTAAATATTATTCTTTTTTTCTCTCTATCAAATTAATAGAAAAAAACACCCGATTCCAAAGTTCAGTTTTCTTCATTTCGCCAAAAACAATCATTTGGTAAACATCCGGTTCTGATTAATTTACTTGATAATAACAAAACTCAACGCCAATCACTCTATTCTCAGCATACTAATTTAGCACCTCTATCATCGATGTATGGCTCTGATTTTTTCTATCCACCTACAACAACCACGGAAGAAATCGAACAACAACAACAACAACATCAACACGACTACGATAATTTAACCTTTCCTCAAAATTCGTCTCATCGCTATTATGATCCATTTCCAATTCTTGTTGATTGTCAACACTGTAATCGAACTATTGATCGATCATCAGTTCGTGACATATCATGTCAAGTTCCATCGGATGAAGACGAAGATCAAAAGAATAACTGTCAAGATGTGCAATATAAGCATCAGAAAGCGAAAAGATCATCACCAATTTATGAATCACCAAGATCGTCGCCACCATTATGTCAACCACCAATGGCAATCAATCTATTAGCACCATATCATTTTCGACGAAAACGTTCTTTATCATCCTACGCTTCTTTGCATAGTCGTTCGAAATCAGCTCCATCCGCTGCATCTTCAATTGTATCATCGAATTCAAGTCGTTCGAAGCATTTTTATGAGAAGAAAATAAAAAATAATAATAATACTAACCGGTTACAAGCATTACTTTCCCCTTTACAAACGGTTACAGCAGTACCGACTCTAGTACCTGAAACTGCTTCGGTTTCAGCAACGCCGTCGACTACAGCCCTTCTTCGTTCTATAAAAACATCAATACATGCTATGAAAAAGCGTCTCAAAGATATTCGTCGTTTGTCCGAGGTGGGTATGTGTTGTTGATGATGATGACGACAAAAGCAAATATATATATATATATATATATATATATGAGTGTGTGTATGGGGATATGAAAGAGAGAGGCATATAGAAGAAGAAAAAAAGAAAAAAACAACATCTGTTGCCTGCCTGTGCATATACTCGTATTATCATCAAACTATTCGACGTCGTAGAGAAAGGAAAACCCGTGCACGCATAGTCGTACGCAACCTTTTTTCCCCTCTACTGACAATGTTTCATTACCTGCGCATTCATCATCATAACAAGGTAGAAGAATTCTTTTTATATCCAATTGTGTTTATATATATATATATACTGCTTTGTAATTCTATACAGCTACATAGACAAAGAAAGAAAATTAGTATATTTTTTTCTTTTATACAAAATTTCTTTATCGTGTTTGTGTCTATGAGAGTGCCCAGTGTAGTCGATTGGAATAAGTAGTAGCGTGTGAAAAGATTAAATTGACAGGTAATCGTCAGTCGTGATTATCTCATTGGTACGTAAAAATATCATAGAGGCTGTTGTCATTGTAAAAACATGTTAAATGCAGGGAAGCGAAAAAAGAAAAGATAAAAGATTTCCAACTAAGGCAATCGGTAAACATATTTTTCAACATTGAAAAAACTTTGTTGCCTATCGGAAATCTATTGAAATAAGTGATGCGTATATAATTCTGAATATTTTGTTTTGTTCTCGGAAATACTAATGGAAAATAGCATGTGAATAAAAGATTCTATTATTTATGACATAAAAGACTTGTTTTTTTTCTTCTTCTGGTCTAAATAGAAACATTGGAGAAGATTCAATTTTGACACAAAAAAAAGAAAGAAGATATAATATATTTCATTGATTATTCCACATTTTCTTTAATGTTACTAGCAAGTTGATTTTATCGATATATCCTTATGATTAATTTCCAAAAGGTGACATGAAACCTTTTGAAATTGCCTATATGTATAGATATATGCTATTGTTTTAGCATATCTATACACCAGTAGAAATGTGTTTCAAAAAGTTAACATGAAGTCGTGTTGCATCTAAAAATCCATATTGACAAAATGACAATATATATTCATTAGATATTTATGATAGAGTATTTTCGCTTGAAAAATTCAGTTTTTTTTTCATCATGTTTTCTTTTTTCAAACGATATACTTTGTGTACATGTTGGCAACGATTAGTCCCCTATGAAGAGAAGAAAAAAGAATCAGATAGGAACGACTGAGTGCTGTTGTTTATTCAAGTAAACGATCTTTCATATAATTACTATTGCTGTTGATGCCACAACAACCTTTCCTTTTCATCTTCTTTTATATTTGCTGGTATGCATATGGCTAATATAACTCTTAGAAAAAAAAAACTATACGCCTAAAAAAACAGAAAGAAAAAGAGGAAGAAAAACTGAGCTAATTCATAAGAAGTAACTTTATCATTATTCGAATTTCTTTTTGTATCGAGCTTCAGCCATCAGACTGATAGGCGCTCTTTGCGTGTGTCTTTTGCGCATGTATGGGCACTTTTTTCGATTCAATTAACTATGCGTGCATGTTTGGCGTGTGTGTCGTGTTATGCGGTATCTATAGTGTTGAAATTCCTCGATCCTGCCATTATTGTCTTCATCGGTATTGTCGTCATCTCATTGTCAAAGAAAACCACTCCGTCTATGAGTTTCCTGTCTTGAACAACAGTAAAAAAATAACCAAGATTCTTTCTTTCTTCTTTTTTACAGAAATATCCTCTTTTTTGCTTATTCGTCTCCATCAGGTTTTCCCTTTCCTCCCATCATTCATAAGAAAGTAATGAATGTGAGCCCTGTCTTGGTGCACGAGTGAAAGAGAGCAAGAAACGACGATGACAATGGAGACTACAAACCAAAAGAAGAAGAAGAAGAAGAAGAAAAAACAGAAGAAAGATAGAAAATAACAAAATAGAAAACAAGAAATAAAAATGGCCCTGTAAACGCACAAAACTGACACATACATAAGCAAAATAAGTGAACCATAGCTGGTTCGAATAACAACAAGAAATGTGTCAATAATAAAATGATTGATCTATAAAGTACTCGAAAAATAAAACCCCAGAAAAGAGAAGAAAAATTTTCTCATCCTACTAAGAAGTTACATTGTTCAATGTTACACTGAATTTGTCTATCATATACACAATTTGTTTTATTTTATTTACGTTTACTGATAAAAACACAACAAGAAGAAGAAACCTCTTAGAAAATAGAATAAAATAATGATTGCGATTTACAGAATGATGTCGTTGTTTTGATTATGGAAGTAGTAGCTATCGTTGTAGCAAACACGGGAAGGAAAGTGAAGGATGTCGACAACTAATTCTACTACTACTAGTACTACTACTACAACAAGCACCAACATGACTGAGTCCGCTCGTTGTCAACAACGACAACAACCCACATACAAAGGCACACGCTCGCACAAGATATAGAGACGGCGAGGGGAGAGAGAGAGAGAGAGAGCGAAGAAAAAAAAGAGAAGAGTATTATTTATAAAATAATCATCGATGCTGATTTCACTTTTTTTCTTCTCTGCTCCACAAATAACGCCTTGCACCGTACGTGACTACCGAAATGGCTTACACTTGACTGGACGGAAAGACAGATAACACTTTAGTTTTGTCGCCATTCATTAAGTCATCTACATTCATTGTTTGTTGTCGCGACACGATCGTCTTCGTTCTCATCATCTAATAAATCCAACCATTTTATTGTTAGTCGTTGTATTTCCTGTATTATTTTATGGAATTCTGGCGCAAGATGAAGTTGCGATGGGTAACTACCGAAATCTGATAAATGATAGCCAAACTTATGATTGATTGATTGATTGATTAGGTGATTGATTGATCATATAGGATCGATCAAGACATATTTATACAAATATCTATATACAAAAAGAAAAGAAAAAACAGCAAAGTCGAGTGATGAGGATAACTACATTGCTTTGAGTCTGGTTGTTTTTTTCTCTGCTATATCATATACATATGCGTATATACGACTAACGATTCTATTTGATTTCTCTTTTTATAATAGGATTCGAACGTGACAACTGTGTTAGATGATTATACGGCACGTAGTTCACAAGAACTATCTGTAAGTAAGGGACAACACGTTCGCGTCGTACAACGGCAGCCACCTAATGCGCCCGATTGGTGTCTTATACGTTTATTGAACGATCACAATAATCCATCGAGTCCATCATCACTTGCTACTTCATCAACAACAATCACAACTGGTTCATTTGATTTATCATCGCCACCGCCATCCTCGTCATCTTCAAAATATATTGAAGGCCTTGTACCAGCAGCTATTCTCAAAGCAACTAAATCGTCAGCATCAAATACTCATCCACTGCCACCATTAGCTCTTTCAACAAGCACTAATAAAAGTGAGCAAGGTAAAAAAGAATTGCAAAAATTCTCCTCAAGTTATGAATATGTTGCTTTTCGTATGTGGTTATCAGTAATTCTACTCTTGCAAAAATATTCTTATTTATTGTAATCAAATATAGAATGGTTTTTTTCTGGAATTGGACTGGTATTCCCATATGAGAATAGAACATAAGCACAAATTTCTCTTGTCATCAAGAGATATATAGTTATTTTCTTGGCTGTTCTATTATTATTATCCTCGGAAAACAAATAAATTTTATTTATTTAGATGCCATTTTGAATAATGCAGACGATCCTCAAAATAGACAACAACAATCCGCAGCTGTTCATTTTAGTAAACGTAAAGCTAGTTTTAGGTAATTGTCTTTTCTTTCTCCGAATTAAATCAAAAAAGCAAATGAATTATTTTTTTTGTTATTCCTAGGCGAATTCTTAAAAATCCAGTTCGGCGTCTTAGTTTGAAAGATAACAGTAGTAGTAGTAGTAGTAGTAAAGATGTGAAAACTCCAACACCACGTGATTTAATAGCTGCATCGACATATATCATATCAACAGATAGTGCCGATGGTGTATCGAATAATAATAGCAATAATAAAAAACAATCCATATCATCGAATTCCACAACATCAGCGGCAGCATCAAGACTCAAAGTATATTCTATAAAAGTTATATTTAGATTTATTGTCTATTTCTTTTTTTCTTTTTCAGGCATTCACATTTGTAAACGCCGAAGATTTAACGTTGTTTCCTGATGATACGGTATGGTGTCTTTTGTTTCGATGAGACAATTTCCGTTGTAGATATGTTTTTTTGACAAGCTTGCAATTATATTTTGTCATGTTGAAAAAAAAACTATGATGTCTTAATAGTAGGTTTTGAGTAAGAAGAAAAGGTCAGGATATTATAATAGAGCCATTCATTTTTCAAGACAGCTATTTCTTAAAGAAGTCAACTAAAAAAATTTGATGTCATTTGACATTCATTGGTATATATCTGTATAGAAAACTTCTGTTTTGAAACAAAACAACAACAAAGAATAACGGAGATGAAGAAAAATTTTAATTTTTCTGCCATATATTGACTTGTACCAGAAGTAACATTAGAGTTATACCCATTTTCTTCTTATGCAATTCTTTGCTTCGGGGTGGGTTAAATCGCATGCATATGAATATACTGTGAGAACGAACAAAAATAGAATAACACAAACAGATTGTTGTGATGTATATCTGTTACGTTGTCCTCATCGTACTCTTTTTTTCCTACGAGTAATAACTACTAGTACTGGCCACTGTTCTCGTCAAATGAATAAGCGTATATCCATATTTTTCTTTCTGTTCGTTCGTCTTATTCTCAAAAGTGAGTTTCTTTCATGTACAAAAAACGAAAGAAAGAAAGAAAGAATAACGAACACATTTCTTTTTCTTTTCGTGTACGGAATTTTTTTTTTCTTCTTCTTCTTCTTTATATTATAATGTATGTTTTCGTTTGACATCGCCATCTTTCTGTCATTCGAATTATTATTTGCTTATACTCGAAAAGCTTATTTAAGTTGTGAGCATATAGACTTTAATTTTGAAGAATAGTTGAAAAAATCTAAGGCATTAGGAATAAAGATGCCACGTCTTCCATGGACAAAAAAGTATAGACTAATACCATCGGCAAAAAAATGGACTATTCGAAAAAATGTAAGTTTTGTTTTTTGACATATTTTCCATGTTAACACTCAAAAAGCACGCACATTGGTTGAAGCAAATCAGAAAAAAAAGAAGAAGAAAACCCGTTCTCGGAAAGTGATGATGCTAGCTTTCGGCACCCATCAACTGCCACAGAAAAAAAAAGAAAATTTGGTGTCGCCATCAGACCCAAGAGAATGAAAGAGGAAGTAAAAGCGTAATTCGATGCTCCTTGTGTCTATCAGAAATAGCCTCCTAGTGATCAAAGAATATATTCATATATGAGATGACGATGTTCCTCTTTCTTGAAATATAAAAGCATATTCACTTTGTTTCGAGTTAGATAAAAGAAGAAGAAGAAGAAGAAGAAGAAGACACAGAACTCAAATTTGTTCGTCTATTCTAAGAAATTTTCTTATCAATAAATATGAATTTTTCGTTTTCATGTCAGAATTCGGCAAGTAAATTTATGGATGGTACTAGTGGTATGAATGGCGTATTTAAATTAACTGGATCATCATCATCAAGTGCAACAACTATTGTATCTCCATCAACAACACTTACTGGCGATGACCTAGAAAATGATGTTATTGAAGTACCACCACCCATGGATATTCAAGCTCAACCAAAACTATCTGCTGATGCAAATGCCGATAAAGTCGCAACTGACGAAACTTCATCACTCGTAAGTAATCTATGATCTTTTTCTTCTGTATGCCAAAGGGCTCATTCTTTTCTTTTTCGAAAATCACGTACATATGTTTGATGATGGATTGCGTTCGTCTCTTCTTATTCAGATCAGGTGACGCCCACAAGAAAATCGTGACATAGAAAATTGAAGATATATTTTAGTTATAGTTAGAACAGTTACAATAGTAAAGAGCAGTCGCTTTCTACTGTTCCCTCTCGTTTCTTCGATCCTATATATATATATATATATGTATATATGAATATTGTAGTGCAAAACAATGTAGGCGCTATTTCAACACATCCATTACATATTTAGAAAACAACAACAACAACAACAAAAATATAGCTAATCAAGTGCATATAAAAGAAATAATAGAAAAATTCTTATATTGATAAGGTTCAAAGAAAAATATTCACCTGAAGTAATAATGTTTTCGTCTTTTTGGCGCATGTTTATATGTTCATTAATCATGACCGACATATAAAACGTATGTGTATATTATGAGACAATTACTCATATCAAAATAAGTAACAACAATACATTGTCGTTCAGCATAGAACGAGAATGTTCGGCTCCCTTTCATTCAATTCCTCTCGTCATATAATTACATTGCTTGTTGCTACTACTTCTCCTGTTGCTGATACTTCATCGGCCGGAACGCGCGCCTGCGTATACACATGCACACATAGAAAAATGTGTCGGCAAGAACAGTAGAGAAGATGATGAGCGTGCGCATTTTTTCGCGCTCGCTCCCGAATAATCGCAATAATATTGTTAGGCTACCGAGCGAGGCCAAACGACAACGGGACCAGTTGATAGTAGCTGTTTTTCTTTCTTTCTTAGTTGCTTTCCTTCTCTTTCGCATTATTTTCTTTTCCACATACCCTCTTACTCTCAGTTCTTTTTTTGCTACTGTGCTACGTTATTGCATTGTTGGTGAATGAAAAAAAAAAGATTGTCTTATGTTTACTATCGACGACAATTGACGACGTTATAATATCATCTTCTATGACATTTTCGTTTAATATAAAAAAAATAACGCCGACGATTGCCCTATTAACGATAACATTATTTTGAGATACGACGTGCACATTTTTCAGTTTTGAGCATCTCTAATATTACCTTAAAAAAGAGCGAGTCTCTTTCTTTCTCTCTCTCTCTCTCTCGCTTTTGTCTTTTACATTCTGTCGGCAATATTACACCTACTACTAACTTCAGAAAAGTCGACGGGCGTACATTTCCGCTCGGTAGAAGACAGACCGACGACAACACCACTACAACGAAGAAGAAAAAAGAAAATCTTAAGCCAAAAACAGTATTTAGAACAAAAGAGAGAAAGAGAAAGAAGGCACTAACAAACAAACGAAACAAAACAAAACCACGGAGATCAATACCGTTGTAAGAAAATTGGTTAATACGATTGCACTGGAGTCGTTCAGAAGCAACAGTGCTAATGTAACATCGCGTTTGCGTAAAATACGCGCACCACCATTAACACCTGTCAGTCAAACTGAAGATGATTCGGTCATTGCTCGACTTGTCCAACGTGTTGTAAGCTATTAGATTTTGTTTATTGTTATGCAATGAATAAAAATAATCAACGATTAATACTATAATTCAATTGTAGTTATTTCTTGTTTCTTCTTCTTTTCATTTATAGGCACCTATCAGTATTGTTACTGGACTTTCAGCAAGTGATTTCAATATCCCAGGTGCCTTGTCAGTGACAACGCCGGCCGTCAATGATGCATCGACAACGAGTAGTTCGGTGCCACCGTCAAGTATTCTACAACAATATCCATCAACAATACCGGCATCATCATCTCTTTCGTCATCTCCGTTGTCAACAAGACCAAGAACGACAACGAATACCGATTCATTATTACCTTCATCATCAACAACAACAACAACAACAACAACTGTGATTTCAAATGATAATCTTAATGAACAAACCGATGAAATATCTTTACATGATACTGATACAAATATTGATTCATCATTAACAGCACAAAGTTCAGTAACAACCAACGATGAGCCAGTTGATGATCGAACAAAATACGGTGAAAAACGAAGGTATAGAATTTAAAAAATTGAAATAAAATCTAACTGTAAATCTTTAGACATAATATTGTCGAATTAATTGAAACTGAAAAAGAATACGTCAAAGACTTGGCATTGATCGTTGAAGTATGCTAGAAATAAAAATACTTGCCTGCTTTTTTTATTATTCTTATTTATTGATCTTCACTTTGCTTTCTAGGGTTATATGAATGTTCTTGAAAATGATAAAGATATTAAAAAGCCAGCAGGTCTTGTTGGTCTTGAACGTGTTGTTTTTGGTAATGTGCAAAGAATTTATGAATTTCATCGAGAGTAAGTTTAATAATCAAAATTTTTTTCATTAACATTTACTATTCATATCTTTTCTTTTTTGCTTTAAAGTACATTCTTACCACAGCTTGAACAATGTATTGAAAATCCTGATATACTCGGTCGATTATTTACCGTAGGAGAAACAAAAAAAAAATTTCTTTGCGTCTTATTGTTATCTTTTCTATAGACAAATCGATTTAGTCCTTATGTACGATATTGTGAGAACAAACCACGTTCAGAATACATTGTTTCTGAATATCATGATTATTTCGAAGTAAGTGTTCTTTGTTTTTTCCTTTTCTAATCAATTAAAAACAAAATATCACGTAAACTATATGTAATTACGTATCCCGAGAAATAATTAAAGATCATCCAGTTGGAAATGTTACACGTATATATATTTATATGATTAGTCATTATAAAATTTTTGCCTTTTCCTCTTTTATTATTAAACATAAATGTTTCCTTTTTCAATCGTCTACATATATATTCAAGATAACAAAATATAAATGTATTCAACCAATAAATGAAATGAGACAAACTGGAAATTCTATTATGCATAAAAGATCACGTCTAGAGAGAGAAAAACAACATTCATGCTGTTCTCAACTAACTGTTTCCGCTATGGTGACAGAGAAAGATATATATATATATATACAATAGTTGTAGCCAAAAAAAAGAAAAGCAACAAGTTTTCACAATCATAACATCGGATCAAATGCAAAAACAAAGACAAAACAAAACAAAAATACTATTTTCAATAAATCTACAACTATCATTTCATTTATGATACAAATTATAATATCATTTTTCCTATAAATAAATAAATCGAGCACGAAATTCTTGTTATTGTCTAGAAGATGATATATACAAATAAAAAAATCTAAAGTAATTTCCGATAGTTGTCTCCTTCCTTTAGTGAGGATATTTTTGCACTTGTTTTCTGAGTTCAATATTTTTCTTCTTCTATCTATTACAAAAAAATTTTCTTCAGGAAATTCGTAAAAAACTCGGTCAAAAATTACTTGTGTCGGATTTATTAATAAAACCAGTACAACGTATAATGCGTTATCAATTATTACTCAAAGAAATACTCAAATCAACCGAGCGTATGCATGATGAACCACGTGCTATACGTAGTGCATTACAAGTTATGATTGAAGTACCACGATTAGCCAATGATATGATGAATGTTGGTCGTATTAAAGATTTACCAACAAATGTCCATCAATTAGGTGAACTTAAATTACAAGATATGTTATCTGTTAGTGAACCAATATCAAAAGAAACCAAAGATGCGAAAGAAGCGGAAAAGAAATTAAAAGAGCGACGAGTATTTTTATTTCAACAAGCAATGGTATTCTCAGAGGAACTGCCGGCTAAAGATAAATATTCAAGTCCAAATTATATTTATAAATATGATTTAAAAGTAAATAGAATAATAATTGAAGAAAAAGAAGCATAACATGTTGTTGTTTTTTTCATTTTAGATCAATAAATTACAACATAAAGAATTTAAACGCAACAAAGAATCATTTCAATTTACATTAGTCGAAGTTGATGTTGGTAATACACGTCGAGTTGTATGTCAATGTAAAGATGATGAACAATATGAATTATGGGTTACGAATGTAGAGAAAGTGCTTCAACGTCAGATGGATCTTATTATAGGTACAAAAATTCTTTCAAACAAAAAAAACGAATTTAAAAACAAAAACTATTTTCTTTTGATTTTCAGCTCTTACTAATCCAACAGCTGCTCTACAAAAAGAGTACGTATTTTGATTGAATTTCATTTCATTTTTATATTCTTCATTTCTCTATTAGTCCTCGTTCTAAGTAAAACTAATACTCGGTAATATATATGTATATATATATATATATATATATTACATGTACATACACACACAGATCAATAAGAGAGAAAAGAAAAAAACTTATTTTCCGTAAGATAAACAAATAAATGGTCTCCGTGTGCATCCTTTTTAATTTTTGGATGCATTTATTACCACCACTACCATTGATTTCTTCCATTCCTAAGCTTTTCCATCTGTATGATTGATTAGTCTTGTTTGCATGTTGTTTTTTCTGAAATATTTATCTCCAACTAAAGCCTGCCTGTTCTTCTTCGCCTTCTTGTTATTCGTCGTTTGTCTACTTTTGTTATGTATGTTAAATGTAAATCATAGGTTATTGACATGGGAATTACCTGAATGGCGACAATCAGGTCAACGACATATAAACACTAGTGCTCATACCTTTGTTTCAACGCATTCCAATATTTGATTTTAAAACCAAAAAAAGCAAGAAACGCCAAATTGCTCCTGCGAGCTTGTGATTGTTTTTTATTCATCTAAGCTTTTATGCGCTCTGCTCTATTCTTAATAATTTAAAAACAATGAAAGCATATTTAGAATTGTTTTAATAAATGAATTTAATATATTTTTAGGCAAGATTCGTCGATGTCATTGTTTATACCAAATTTATCAACACCAACAACTCGAAATCAAATTAAAAAATCGATGTCTGATCGTCCTAATAAATCACCTGAATCACTATCACCAACACATCTTTTATCGCCATCACCAAAACTTCCGACTCCATTACTATCACCATCACGTACATCATCGAATTCGGACGGATCATCGCCAACACCAACAACAGAAAATTCGAATAAAAAATCATCGTTTAATTTATTTGATTCGATTTTACAACGTTCAATAACAAAACCATTAACAATAAATACTTCAACACATCATGATGTAGCTCAGCCGAAAAAATTAGGAACACCATTATCATCATCGTCATCCATGTCTAACACACAATTGCCTGAACAAGCTCGTTGTTTACATAGTTATAATGCAATAAAAGAGGATGAAATATGTGTTCACAAAGGTGAATATGTACAGATTGTTGCTGCTAATCAAGATAATCGATGGTTTGTTCATCGGGACGCTAATCGGACATCGCCAGCTGCTGAAGGCTGGATACCAGGATTTGTTCTTGGACTTAAAAATCCTAATTCAACATTGCATCAAACATTATCTTCATCTTCACCAGTATCATCATCTTCATCATCATCTTCCCAGCAGCATCCAAGTTTATCATTATCAGCTAATAGTCTTCATCGTTTAACTACAACAACGACATCATCATCATCAACGGCTCATCATCCAACTATTACCTATGAATCAACTTTACCTCCTAAACCTCAAACGAGTACTTGCGATAAGGTATAAAAATAAATCTCTTTTTTTTTCTTCTTCTTCTTCTTCTTCTACGAATGTGTATGCAAGACGAAGTTACGAATCTCTGTTATAATTTTTTTATGCGAGCAGCAATCAAATATACTATATCTTTCTTTATGTATTATATACTATATTTTGTTTGTATTTGTGTGTTTTTTTTCTCTTTTCGTGTATTTTCTCAATCTGCAAAAAAACTAATGTATGTGTATGTCATTGTGTGGTTTTGTTTTCTTTTCTTTCTCTTCTCTTCTCTTCTTCTGCTCGCTTCGCGTACTATATAGCAGCTCACGCAAACATGTTGTTTTATTTCTTTTTCTCATTTTTTTCTCTGTTATCTTTGTTCCGACAAAATATTAATGATGATCAATTAAAAATATGAGATTGAATGAAGATAAATTTACTGAAAAAAAAACAGACAAAAGATATACATATATTATGAACTAAATGCTTTTGATAAAAAGAAAAAACTTCTCAGTGATTGGTAAAAACGAATTTGTTTATCATCCAGGGAGATGCAAACTGACGATGTTAATATACATCGTGTAATCATACGTGTATTTATCTTTGCGTTGTGTTGTGTTTGTTTGTTTCAATATCGTTTCTTTGCTGTTGTTGTCTATCTTCTGGATGTTAGATGTTTTTAGAAATGAAGCGATGATTCTATTCGTATGTTTTATATTGTAGCGTCTCAGTGGTGTTCTACGATATAGTGGACCTGAATTGAATATATCTGTACATGATCGAAGTGTATTTCTTGGTCAACCTTTGATTCTTCAAGGTCATGTTCTTGGCAATCCACGACCAGCTGTTGTTTGGCAACATCCACATGGCCATGCATTAGCTGATGATGGTGTAAATATCTATACACATTATGGAGATGATGGGACAATTCATCTACAAGTAATTATTTTATCTTGAAATATAAAAGATGATTTATGACGTGCTGTTAAATAACTTTTTAGATTCGTTCGATATCTATGCAAGATACTGGTATCTATGAATGTACAGCTACAAATCCTCAAGGTACTGTTTCACAACAAATTACTGTACAAGTAAAAGGTAAATGATTGTAAGCATATGGCATTTTTCGTGAAAATTTTACAATTGATTTTCTTAGATTCAACCGATCATCATAAACTTGAACAGGTTCGATGGTCAGCAAAATATCGGCCCAATGAATATCGTGAATTGAATGAAATAGCTCGGTAAATTATTATTTCTTTTACTTTAACAACAAAAATATCTTATTGTTGCTATAATAGAGGACGTAATTCAATTGTTCGTCAATGTATTCATATATCAACCGGTGATGTGTGTGCAGTGAAACTGATATCGAAAAAAATTATTTCACATGAACGTGCTCTACATGAATATGCTCTTGTTTCATCTATACGTCATGATTCAATTATACGAGTATTTCAATTTATTGAAACTAGCTCTTCTTCGATAATTATTTCTGAATTGTACGATCAAATATTAATTTTGTTTTATTCTAGAAAATATCTTTTTTTTTTGTTTTCGTAGGATATCCGGTGGACGGCTATTTGATTATCTCTGTTTACAATCGATCATAATTGAACAGAATATAGCAAAATATTGCCGACAATTATTAGATGGAGTCAAATATTTACATCATTGCAAAATTGTTCATTTAGATATACAGGTAAACAATTGTTTGTTTAATAATAAGAGTTTCCTTGTTGATATTTAGCCGGAAAATCTTCTTATCAATACTGAATATGATCAAGTCAAATTATGTGATTTTGGTGATTCAATTCGTTTATCAAATATGAAATATGTTCATCGTATGAGTGGAAATATTGAATTTGCTGCGCCAGAACTAATTCATGGAAATATTCCTGTTCATTATAAAACAGATATCTGGTAAAAAGAAACAAACTCTCTCATTAATTATTAACTTTATTTTCAAAGGTCAATCGGTGTGATTTTATATACGTTACTATCGGGTCTTTCGCCATTTCTCGATGAAACTGATGAACAAACATGTGCCAATATAATCAATATTGACTTTAATTTTCCTGAAAGTCAATTTCCCTATGCATTTCAAGCTGCAAAAGAATTAATTCAAATCATATTTGTTCGCGAACCAAAGTAAGATTTGAAACACGCAGAAAAATTCGAATAGTTTACATACATTTTCTTCCTATTTTTTAAGTAATCGTCCATCAGCAAGTGAATGTCTATTGAACGAATGGCTTCATCATGCTGGCCAATATCAAATTTCAACAACTAATTTAAATAATTTTATTGAACGAAGAAAAATTTTAAGTGAAAAATCTTAGTTAATTCATGAACAGTTTATCGCTGAAATGAAATTTTCCTTTTTTTCTGTCTCTCTCATGTGTTTACCTATATATGTGTATGTTGCGTGCAATTTTTCTTCTCTACTATTATTATTATTATTATTATTATTACTATTGTTGTTACTATTCAATATTGTAGATAAATCATGTTTGTTAGTATTATTTTTCTAAGTATTATTGTTAGTTATGCTCAATCACAGATTGAACTTACTTTACCACCGTTACCTTATGAATATAATGCACTTGAGCCAGTTCTTTCGGAAAAATTAATGCGATTGCATCATGATAAACATCATCAAGCATATACAACGAAAACTAATGCTGCACTTAATGCCATGGCTACTGACGAAACATCGGATGATCAATCCAAAGAGTTAGCTAAACTACCTATCGAAGTTATTCTTACTCAAATTCAACGTATACCAGAAAAATATCAATCGACTTTAAGAAACAATGGTGGAGGTTATGTCAATCACAAGCTTTTCTTTTCTATGTTACGTAAACCAACAGCGACAGCTACGGAAAATCAACCAACAGGTCCACTGTTTGATGCTATTGAAAATAGTTTTGGTTCATTTGATAGATTCAAAGAAATGTTTACTTCTGCATCAGTAAACTTGTTTGGTTCCGGTTGGGTTTGGCTCTATATAAACGCACCAACAAAACAACTTACTATTAACGCCACTATGAACCAAGATAATCCGTACATATCAATTGGTTGTTTCGTTTTCTACTGTTTTTTATTATTATTATTATTTAGAACTATGTTCGACAAAGATCGTGTTATTCTTCTAGGTATTGATGTCTGGGAACATGGTAAGTGTAGAAATATTGCAAAAACAAAATCGAGTCATCATTCACGCATTTAGCTTATTATCCAGTTTATGAAAATCGTCGTAATGAATATGTTGATAACTTTTGGCGTATAATTAATTGGTCTTTTGTTGAATCGCTTTTTACTCAAGGAACTGCTAGACATAGTGATCTTTAAATAATAAAACATTTCTATTGTTGATTTTAATGTATGTATTGAGTTGCGTACGACGAATATTTTCTTTTTGCAGAATAAAATAAAATGAAACGACTTGGTATTGTTTGGTTTCGAAATGATTTACGATTACATGATAATGAAGTAGGTCAATTTTTTGTCGATGTTTTTAAATAAAAACTATTCTTGTCCTTGCACAGCTACTTGCATGGGCTCATGCGAATAATGATTATGTAAATCATATGTACTGTTTTGATCCACGTCAAATAACAGATAAAACATACAAATGTGATTTTGTCAAATGTGATAAATATCGATTGAAATTTCTCATTGAAACGATTGAAAATCTCAATACATCTTTGATTAGCAATGGCAGGTATGAATTGTCCTTCGGATGTTTTTCGCGGTAGACTATTTGCCATTTTTGTAGTGGTCTTTTGACCTATCGTGATACACCAGAGAATGTGTTCAAGCAATTGATTCAACAATATAAAGATAAATTTGAAATCTCAATTGGTTTTCATCAAGAAGTTACACAAGAAGAAACTGATGTTGAAAAAGCAATACGTCAATTGGCTCGTGATAATAATGTTCATGTCAAAGAATTTTGGACAACAACATTGTATCATCCTGATGATTTACCCTATAATAATCCTAAAGCGTATGTTCGTTATCTCTCTGTGTTGAGTGCGATAGTTTTTTTTGTTTTCTATTAGTTTTCCTGATGTTTTTACACAATTTCGAGTAGCACTAGAAAAACAAAATGTTCGAGCAAGAAGTTTGACCAATATTCCTGATAAATTCAAACCATTACCCGATGGCAGTATTGTTACATTTATACCAGCTTTAGCTGATTATGGATATTCGAGTATGAGCAATTATTGTTAACGTGGTTCCAAATTACTTTTAATTTCCTAGATGTGACTGTACATTCAAGTAGTGTATTTCCATTTACCGGTGGTGAATCATCAGCACTTGCTCATCTACATTCTTATATTTGGGAGAAAAACCTAGCTAAATCTTACAAACAAACTCGAAATAGTTTAACTGGTTGTGAGAATTCAACAAAATTTTCTCCATGGTTCGATGACATACCGTCTATCTATTTATCTCTAGCTTATACTACCTATTAGGTTAGCAAATGGATCATTATCTCCACGGAAAATATGTGTTGAATTAAAAAAATATGAAAATGAACAAGGTGCAGCTGATGCTGGATATTGGATTATATTTGAATTACTTTGGCGTGATTTTTTCAAATTTACTGCTTTGAAATATGGTGCACGACTTTTTTATGGACGTGGTCTAAAATCTAATCCCTATGATTGGAAACATGATCTACAACAATTTGAAGCATGGAGAAGTATGTGTATTTCGATTGTAGAACTTCTATGTAAGACAGTAACTATGATTGTTTTTTTGCAGCTGGTACTACAGGTGTTCCATTTGTTGATGCTAATATGCGTGAGTTTATGAATACTGGTTGGATGTCAAATAGAGGACGACAAAATGTTGCAAGTTTTCTAACAAAAGATCTTAGTATTGATTGGCGGTATGTTTTAAAGCTGATTTAGGTTAAAGTATTTGTATCGTTGTATATTAGATATGGAGCAGTATGGTTCGAATCAATTTTAGTAAGATTTTCATTTTTTGTTGTTGTAGCGTTTCTGATCTTTCTTATTAAGATTGATCATGATGTTTGTTCAAACTATGGCAATTGGGTGTATGTTGCTGGTATTGGTAATGATCCACGAGAAAATCGACATTTTAATATGATCAAACAAGCATTTGATTATGATTCTAGTGTAAGATGATTGGGTAGGATTTGATATCAATGAAATTTACTGTTTCAGGGTGAATTTGTACGTACATGGTGTCCAGAATTAGCTCGATTACCAAATGAATACATTCATACACCTTGGTTAGCTCCATCACATATTTTGAAAGATGCAGCTGTTGAGCTTGGTGTTAATTATCCTCGACCCATTATTGTTGTACCACAATGGAACCAACAAGTAAGCCCTTTTCTCTCGATATAGCAATATTGTTCATGTAAATATTGCTATTTTCTAGTCACAAAATTGGCGAACATCATTACAAAACCAACATCATACACAACAACGTGGCATCGATTTTTATTTTAAAAAGCCCGAAAAACGACATTAGTCATCAATTTTTAAATCTCTTGTTATTCTTTAAAGCTTTGAAAGAAAATTTATTAAAATATGTCGACAGAGAAAAATCCTAATTGCGACAAGCAATTTAAAGTCTTGTCTGTTGATTGTAACTACCTGAGTACATATAGGCACTTCCAATAGATTACAAATTGCAGTGATATTTTTATGTTTCAACTATAATAACTTGACTACCATTGGTAAAATTCTTTTGGGGTCTGACGCATCAAATTCATAACGGGAAAACATAATACGTGTTTGTCTCTGATTTTAATATTTATCATTTCTTGTCTACCAATCGTTATCATTGCTGTCAGAAGCACAACATCTAGAATAGTCTTTCTCTTTTTATCCTTTCTAGTTAGCCAATGCAGGCATTAAATTCTTTAACTTTCTTAGAGTTCGGTATCCAATAGCAGAAGCTGGACAATGCTCCTTCCGGGGCTGGTTCGGCTGCGCGAACTTTGATGGGTTGTAAATGGAATGTTTCAAGAGAGGTAGTGTGTCTACTACTGTATACTAAGTTTTCTCAGGAAAGTGACTTTGTGAACGAATAGAAAAGAGACTATTTTTACTAGTTTTTTCAGTAATTTCCGAAAAAATTTCAGTTCAGTTATATTTTTAAAATATTTTTACAACCATAAAACAAAGATGTCAGACATACTAAATATAGTACACTTTCTGCCATACTGTCCCTTCATACTTTTTACTTGTTCTATGTTGAATCAATGTTGACCCTGCGATCCTTCATATGTGCCTAAAGCAATCGAAAATAAAGCAAATATAAATATAAATATTAACTTGAATATGATGGGTTCGATTAGAATCTAGGAAAACAGCGAAAAATATCTTACCCATTGATTAGCTAGATTAGTCCAGTAAAGACAATATTAAACTTCTTAAAAGAGAGAAGCTGTCAAGAAGTATCATGTAGCAGATATACTTTCTTCAGTTAGAATCGAGAAAAACACGAGGGATTATCATATATATTGGGGTTGTGTCACGATTATTGATGGGTTGTCGCAACCTCAACAACCACCGTTCGAGTCAGCCTTGGTTTCTTCTAATGTCAAAAACAGAAGATACAAATTTGCAAAATTGTTCTTTCTTTGATTTGGAGATAAGTGTAGCAAGAGATTTTATGCGCTGTTTTTAAAGAAAAAATCTTCATTATTCAATCTATCATGTTTCCGATGGTATTATCCTTTTCTAGCGAGAAGAATATCTACAAGTGGCAACTTTTTAAGAATCCTTTACATTTAGCATTTTGAAATGAGTAGGATATATGTAATAGACGTGATTCTTTGAATTCTATCGTGAAAACTCTATGCTACGGTTTGTGAAATTAATCCGAAAGAAGTTATTCCTACTAGAACTCCATTAGAGTATGTTGGCATATTTCTAACGAACATTTCTTGAATGGTCATTAGTATATGATGAGACTATTTTTGCTACATTTGGTTTTTGTTGACGGTAAATAACTTCATTTTTAGAAAGAGCACTGTTGTGGTATTGAAGTGACGCTAATAATTGAACCAGGATTTCAACTTACCGAAAAATATTTCATGTTTACACCTTATAGTACTCTAGCTGACTGCAAATTACTACCCTATCTACGGACATTAATGGCATTCTATACAAGAATATACTTTTAGTATTTTGTAGTTCATCGGTATTGATTATGCTTCGCAGGTGGAGTTCAGTTATTATTGCTCGTCGAGCTATACTCTCATCATCACAATCATACTCCCTATCATAATGAGTCTCACACTAGTCATTTCGTATATCAATGAAGATTATAGTGGTATTTGTTTGTCATACACTGATGCTGCCGCTACAATCATGACTATATGTCAGGCTATTTCGGCTAATTACGTTCCACCATTGATCATGGTAGTTGTTGGCAGAGGCGGTGGAACGATCTTAGTCTAGAGTAGACTCACATTTTTAGCAAAATGATGTGTGCCCATGTAAAAATACAGGATTCAAATTTGATTATTATCATAAGGTTTTAATTTTTTTTTCTGTATGATAAATGAAAACTTTTAACGTAGTTTGCACCAGTTACACTCTAGCGTTTATGAAGTCTTCATCGATTGTAGTCAGTGTCAATCGTGTAATCCATGAAATTTCAATTTTTTAGCTTGCTTTTTGAGAGAACCGTTTATAAATGGATTAAAAACTCACCATTATAAGAAATTCTTAATTCATTTCAATCTGATTCCAGCTCTAATTTTGTATTTATGGTTGTGAACGAGTTGAAAAGTATTTTATTCTTTTTTTAGAATAAAGATCATTGTTGATTTTCTGCCTAGATTTTGATCATTTATAGACGTGATAACTATCTAATGCATGATTGCACCCGAGACCATAGAAACTAACCAAGTAACTGAAAAGGATTATTGAAAAAGGCACTATAAAAAATAATCTGACAAGAAAAAGAACTATTCCGTAGCTAAAAAGTGTTCCTCTCTTGATTTTTTAAAATAAAATCGGTACAAAATGCTGGATCAAGTTGATAGCGAGATTTTTATGGTTTTAATAATCACATTTCTGCTCATAATCCTAAGTCATTGTTAGGATTATTTGAATTGTTAAATAGAATTTCAATAAAAGATGAACTTCCTTTAAAACTAGTGGGCTTCGCGTTTTATTGTGAAAGAAAGATAAACCCTGAATTTGTTTATCCGGTATCACGATAGGAACGGAGTAATAGTTTTCAAGTATTTAGTAATACAGTGGAAACCGGGAAAAACTAAAAATTTCACCGATTCAGTAATCGACTCTATTACAGCCACTAGCCGGCGACTTTTTCGAAGCCAGAAAACGGCATCGTACCGAAATTCAACTTGCGCGATTATTATTATGCCAAGTACTTAATTATCTCATATTTTCCTTGCCTATTGGTATTTCATACACATTGTCTATGACCAATTCTAGCATGCAAACAGCATTGTTTGGCTTTATTATAAACATATTTTCTTTATGGAAGCAATTTTTCCATGTTACAATTTTCTTCTTATACATTCTCACGGCAAATGTATATAGACGTGCATTGATACGTATACGTATAATACATTGTCGTATGAATCACCATCGCCGACATCATACGCATACTAATATTAGTAGCATAACTCATCCGGGTGGATGTATAGCAACTTTCCACTAGCCAAAACACAGAATCATGAAAAACACCAATGATCTAATTAGTGTTGTATAATAAATGTTGTTATCATTTAAGGCATTATTGTTTTCTATCATATTTCATTTAATAAATAGCATCTGAATTTCACTAGTAGATGGGTGTGGGTGATTATATCTTTTTATTCTTTATTTTCACCCAGACAGGCACACTCGCATCCACTTTTTAGAAAATACCCACTCTGAGACCAATTTCAACAGGCCTTTGTCAACACAAAAGAAAATTTCTAAGTGATCTTTGTTGTTTGAAAAATTTTCAAGGTTCTTTTTTTGTATGATGTTAAAACACGTCTATGAGAAAATTATTTTTCTGTGCGTTCTGTTTGCCTCAGAATTCTTCCAACATGAGTGTAGGAGAAACGTAGCAATCTCATTCACTTTGTTTTCGACACATGAGATTGCTTGCATTCATCTGCATATTGTTTTTGTGGTCTTCAAATTGCGTCTTATTTAGCGTCAATAGTCAGTACTTACCCGAAGAAAGCCTGGGTTGGACCGACGCCTCGTACATATTAACAGAGCGAGTTAAGTATGAACCTATACAATTTATTCCTTGCTACGGTGTTCGGCTTTTTTCACTAAACATCCCTGACACGTATCTTCTACGGACACATTTTTACTTTTCGCTGCTCATAAGTCTTATCTTGTTAGAGAATTATTGGCACTCACACCCACACCCCACACACCCTGAAACATATTTTTATTTTGATGGTGGATAAGTCTCGAATGGGAACGACGTATACCCTCATCCCCGTGCCTCCAGAGTACACGAAGCACAGTAGACTCTATGTGAAATGTATTTAATAATTTTTGAGAAAGTCAAGTAAGCTTGGATTTTGAAACAAAATAAGAATAAGAATTGAGATAAGAGTGTATACAATTGGTTGGCCGTCTCAAATAAATCAGCAGACAAGACAGCATGTTGTTTCTCTTATCTTTATCAGCATCAAATGTCTATATGGATGATAAGAACGCAAACAAAAAGAAAAGCCACTTGATAAATTGCGGCTGCATATTTCATCGTCTATGTCGACAACAGTAGGTGAAGTAGTTTTGGTCGTGCTTTAATACTTGACATGAATTGAACTCTATCAGTTATGTTTGGTAATTTTGCACTTTTACATTCAGATTTGGGTTTAGCTCTGCTATCCCCCTCCCTTCGATAATGAAATTCACATCACTCCTTCAAGGATGCGGCTTTGCATTATGGAGAATGTTTTACTAGGATTTACTTGGAAAGTTAAGGATCTTTGACAAAATTTTTGTCACATTCAAATAGGCAGTTATAGCAGTTGATTACCTTAAAACCAGCTTTTATACTAAAACAAAAGTGATTTTATTAACAAAGCGGACTTATAAGTGCTAAAGCCTCAAAGCCACGAGCTTTCTCAAAAAGATCATCTGAAAACCTCACGGCCTTCTATTACACCTTATGAAATTTTTCTTCCGAATATCCTTTTATACTGAAAGGGGTGGGTACTTTAACCCATAGATCACTTTATTTTGGGTTATCATGCTTAGACCTGTGAAAACTCACAGTTTTATGAACTGGTTGACTTATACCAGATTAGTTCTGCTATCGCAAGCTCTCACAGGTCTAATTATACGGTTCCTCTTCTGTCTTTTCTGTATATGTTGAGGGTGTTGCGTTTTTTTTTTACATAAATACAAACCAAAGCAAGTTTCAATATTTTAAACTGTCAATCATCCAAGTAAAATTATTCTTGATGCTCAACGGATGAATTTCCACGAAGGCAATTTCCGGTTCGGTTATCTACAGTCAGAATAGTC